ATTTTTTTTTTCATTGTTTTTTTTTTCAAGATTAGTCCCATTTGCCTATTTTTTTTAAATAATAATAATAATAATAATAATAATAACGTTTATTGTCCTACAGATATAAAATCCATTTACAGAACAATTACATACAATAAATTAAAATAAGTCCTAATATTATTAAAAAAATATATATACAAAAAGAGGTATAACAAGATTAGACTAAAAAATTTTTACATAAGCTATCAATTATAAAACCAATACTATTAAAGTTAATGTCACATTTATTGCAGTATATTAAAATTTTTGCACATAAAATAAATTGGTGACTATAATATTCGACCTAGCGTTGGGGCAGTAAAATGTAAGGTTGGTACGAGTATTTCTTGGTATTAAATAATTTATTTGGTTTAATAGTAGGGGAGCGTCAATTTTGTTATGTAGGTAGCAAATTGTACAAAAATTTTACACTTAACGTGGCTCGCCTTAACTGCAGGGAACTAAACCCGAATTCATTCAAAAGAGTTAAGTGATCATAACCCTGATCTGGATATGCACCGTTTTGTTTAAAAGAGAGGAATTTTAAAAACCGTCGTTGAATTTTCTCCAAGTTACTTATATTACTAGAGTATATTGGATTCCAAATTAGAAAACCATACTCAAGCTTAGAGCTTACAAATGAATAATAAAGAGTTTTAAACGCCATTTGACATTTAAAGTTTTTGGTATTTCTAATTATAAAACCAAGGGTTCTGTTGGCAGATGTTATTATGCTATTAATGTGGTTATGAAAATTTAATTCGCTATCAAATAATACTCCCAGGTCTTTAATGGCGGTGACACGGAAAAGTAAACTTACCAGTCTTCAATCTTACACAAATCATTTTGAAGGGCCTTACAGTCATTAACACTGCGTATTTCTTTAAATATTTTCAAATCATCGGCAAACAAAAGTCTTTCACAAACAATATCGTCGCCTATGTCATTTATGAAAATTGTTAAAAGAAGAGGACTTAGATTAGAGCCTTGTGGAACACCAGAAGTTGATAAAAACTTTATACTCTTAAAACCACTATAGGAAACATACTGGTATCGATTACTTAAATAGGATGTAAAAAAGTTCTGAAGTGCTTCCGAAAAACCAAATAACTCAAGCTTAGAAATAATAATAGGATGACATATCCGATCAAAAGCTTTTGAAAAATCTGTATATATGGCATCTACCTGCCCACGATTATCCAGTACTTCAGAGGTAAATTGGGTAAAATAAGTCAAATTCGATACCGTTGAACGGTTTTCCATAAAACCATGTTGGTGAAGAGAAATAGAGTTTTTGACTGATGGGTAGATACGCATATATAAGGACATTTCAAAAACCTTTGAAAAATTTAATAAAATAGCTATAGGTCGGTAATTATTATCACCGTTCTTAAATATTGGACACAATCGGGCTACCTTCCACATATCTTTTATGTTTCCAGTCCAGTTTATAGACTAAATATTAGCCACTAAATGACATTTAGTAAATGTAAATACAGTCTCGCGCTATGCATGTTTTGATTTGGTCCTAAAAAAAGTAACTACCTATAATATTTTTGATTCAGCGCTTGATTTTCCAAAAGGCCTTTTTTCATGATTTTTCAAATTCATGTAGAGTATGGAAATTGTTTTTTCAAAAAACAATAGCAAATTCTTGTAGAACATTTATTCATTGGTGGTTAACTCAGAAATTTTTTTTCCAAAAAAGAAAAAAAATCGATTTTTTTTATTACGGTATTCGTTATGATTTAACGTTGCACGTTGCTTTTAACCTTTTTTCATCTAAAAATCTTAAAACTAGAAACTTCAAGCTTCAAATTGCTTTTTTTACGGCTCCAATACGACCATTTTTAACGAAGATATTCGAAAAATCGCAAAAAATTTGGAATGTTTTTTATCCTTTAATTTTTTTCCATTAGTGTAGAAGTTTTACATTTTTATTGATTTCTTATGTGGAAACTACCAAATAATAAGAAATAAGATTTTTTAGTCTCGGTCAAAATTTGCAATAATGAAAAATGTAATACAGGGTGTCCAGAAATTAGGGGGCCAAACTTAAACAGTGCATTCTTCATAGAAAAATAACACTTTTTTGTTTAATAAACATGTCTCAAAAAATTCCCCCTAACGGAGCTACAGCTAGGAGCCTAAAAGGACATTTAAAACTATTCCTAAAGGGTTGAACATAAAGAATTGAATTTTCGGTACTTTGGTAATTTTGACATGCTGAATCTAGATCTATGATCAAAACTGTTAAAATTAAATCATAGGCGTAACATTTGGGGGGGGGGGCAAAATTACAAAAATAGCTCCAACTTTTTTCTAGGTTAATATTTTAATTTTTTTTATGAAATTTATAAAAAATTACGATAAATAGGTACTCTTGATTTAAATCGCTCAGATGCACCATTTTCGAGAAAAATGCATTTATAAATTACTCAGCATAGCCGAAGATTTTCCACCTCATGTTGAATTTTGCCATTGGGTTCGAAACCACCAAAACGCATTAAGGAATATGGTCGGATGGGGCAACCTTTTTAAGAGGCAAGGCATTTAACATGCATAATACTTATTTTTGGAGTAATGAGAATCCGAAATAAATAATTTTTTATAATATAGTAAAATCAAGAGATTACTTTTCTCTGTGTTAATTAAAGAAAACCGGTTCGACCGGATCGACCCAAAATATCAAAAAAGGTCCAGTATGTGCATTCAACAAAATGGAAATTGGTTTGAACAATTACTAAAGTAAATTAGTGTTTTCAAGTTCCTAGTCGTTTAATACATAATTACCTACTAATGTGTTTTTATTTTATAATAATAATAGCCATTCCACATGTAGTTATGTCGAAAAGAAGGGAGAGCTTCAAAATTATTTTTACAAAATAACGTTTATAAATTAAATTAGCTAGATCCCTTTTGGAAAATCGCTTCATAATAAAAAAAGAACGAACATTAAGCCAGAAAGTGTTAACTAAATTATTACAATAAATGTAAAGTCAGCAAATAACCCAAACGTCACTTTTGTCCCAAAGCCTACTTCAAAGTTTTAATGAAAATATGAGATGTGTATGCTATGCAGAGTAATTTATAAATGCATTTTTCCCGAAAATAGTGCATCTGAGCGATTCAAATCAAGAGTACCTATTTTTCGTAAAAAACTATAAATTTTTATAAATTTCATAAAAAAAAAAATATTAATCTAGAAAAAAGTTGGGGCTGTTTTTGTAATTTTGCCCCCCAAATGAATCGCCTATGATTTAGTTTTAACAGTTTTGATCATAGATACCGAAAATTCTTTTCTTTATGTTCAACTCTTTAGGAATAGTTTTAAAAAAATTGTCCTCTTAGGCTCATATTCAAGGAGCTGTAGCTCCGTTAGAAGGCATTTTTTGAGACATGTTTATTATACAAAATATTTTTTAATTCTTATACATTTTACACTTTTATATTATATTTTGACAATTCATGTAATTTTTTGATGATGAATAAACTTTCCTTTAATATGCTTTATTATTACTATAATATAGTAGCGGATTTGAAAAAAAACCGAAAAGGACCGTTTTCTAGTTTTTTTTCATGTTTTTTTACAACCACTACAGAATTCCACTCTAGCGGGATTATCTTCCAGCTGCAGGTGCTGCACTCGCGTAAAATGAACGTCCTTCACATCCCTATGAACTGTGAACGGGAAATTTGCGTGCAACTTCCCTTATGCTCTTCCTACTATTTGCATCAAAGGCATTAAAAATAGGTTCTTTATTTTCCGCGCCTTAAGTAGCACCCAATTTTGTTACAACGCAGAACATCTTTACAGTCCAGGGGACGATCGGGAAAAAACTCGTTCTGCCTCCCTAGCGTTGCACCCATACTCCCCATAAATAATCATTATTTCGGCATAATCAGAGGAGGAAAATATAACTTAAAATGATAAATAATGACAGGAACAAAAATTGACAGCAGTGTCACAATGAAGTGGATTCCATTCGACCAAATATTTAACATATTATAATATAAACAATGCATCCTAAGTATTCTAGCAATTAATAGTATATTACACTACAAGGGCAGAAAGTGTGAGATTCCTGCACTGCGCGCCATGATGCCCGAAAATGAATTGTTAAAGAATTAGAAGTAGGTAAAACCAAAGATAATTCCTCGTTGTATACAGTTGTATACCGTAAGTATAAAAAAATCCGTCAAGTAGTTTTTAAATTATTAGTCATTTAATATAAAAAAAACCTGGAAACGCTGTGTATTTTTTAAGCGGATTTGGAAAACATAAAAACGGTTGTTATGGAAACAAAATATACATGTATACTTGTAACGCATCAACACCAAAATCTATGATGGAGAACAACATGTATACAAATGATTTTCCAAAATAAGAGGGCGCTGGTGTTCTGTTTCTTGTTTGGTTTTTACCGAAACAGCAAATGTCAGTACAAAATGGAAATCAGCGTTGGTAGTGGTGAAAAAGAAACAATTCTTGCTCCAGTGACTTGACTTGACATGGCTAACAGTTGTTTAAATAAATACATAATTAAATAAAAAATAAAGAAATTCAAATTTAATTTTAAACACTTAAAATTTAGAAACTATTTGTCAAAAAAACTTTTTTTATAATTAAAATAACCCTCTTTATAACGTGGACACCCGCCACCATGTATTCACGATTTCGCCCGAATCTACTCGCCACGCCGAATATTCAACCCCCTTATATTCGGATATCTGGCTTCGAATAGTGTCGGATATTCGGTATCCGGCCATACAACTATAGTTGATATATCCGATTAATCCCTAGTGAAAATACAATTTTAAATAATAAAAATAATTAAAAGTGCAACTTTTGATTGTAAAAAACACATTTTAGAACGTTGAAAGCATTTTTGTTCTAAAATTTTTTAAAACGTTTCAAAAACATCAAAATTTCTAAAAACTGTTTCAAAATGTTTTAAAAAGTGCTTAATCTCTCTCACCTCTTCCTCTTTCTCCTGAAGCAGCATGATTGGAAGCAATAACTCTATCTCTTAAGGGGGCAATCCTCTCGGGGTGCGGCTTCATCGGGCTGCTGCCTCCAAGGTCGCAAGGACTAGGACTGGGGCTCATGTTGACTGGGGGCGGGCTTCCCGCCACATAGAAATCTTTAATTTCCGCCTTTGCCGCCTCATCAGCTATGCGCTTGTTGTCGATGATGAGATGATAGGCGATTGCGAGTTGATCGTGGGGGTCTCCGCTCAAAAGAGCAGCGTGCACTTCCGATTCCTGAACGCCGAATTTCTCGCAAACCTCCAAAACGGCCCCGGTATCGATAACGGAGGAATCCTGCTCCACGGGAGAGGGAAACAAGTAAGCGGGGCAATCTTTCTGGAACCACTCGTGCTTTTTGATGTCGTCGATCGAAGCCCGTTTCATGGGATCGATATGTAACATCTGGCATAACAAACTGATAACCGACTTATTCAAGTATTCCGGAATAGGGAAAATACCGGATTTAATTTTTCTGAATAAAGTAGGAACGTGCTCGTCATCGAAAGGAAGAGTACCGCATAATAGAGCGTAGAGAATCACTCCGCAAGACCAAATATCCACTTCAGGACCTGCGTACAGTTTTCCAGAGATTACCTACACCAAAAAACAGAATTTCCCTACACTGGGTAACAATACTACATCTGGCAACATTGCTCCTAATCTGACAGTTGTCAAAATAGTGTCAAATCTGTTAAGATAGTGCCAGAACTGTCAAAATAGTTTCAAATCAAGGGAAATTTAAACGGACAGGTAAAAAAAATCAAACCAATGAATGAGTTAAATAATATTCTTTATAAATATAAAAAAAGTAATAAAATATGCGTACCTACAAAAAATCTTTACCATGGCATTTTCCCTTTTTAAAAATTGTTAAAATTACATTACATTTCCATAATGAAAAATTATTATTATTGTTTATAAACGTAAAAGATTTAGTAAAAAACTAAATTTATTTTTATTATTTTTTAAAACCTTTAAAATGTTATTTTTAAAACTTGTATCTACTCCTATTGCCTAATATTGTTTTTTTTTTCGTGAATATTGATAAACATTATAAATTTCCTGCCCAACAACGTGAATAATGAACTCATATGTGATTTGCCGATTTCAATATTCACTGTGATTTGAACCAATCAGGTTTTAAATTGAGAGAAGGCGACTATAAAACATTTAAAATTAGTAAAAAGTGAGGCTAACCATTTGACAGATGGGCCATTTCAAGACGAGAAGCTAATTAACCCAGGGAACACCCACTGTTGCCACGTTTCTCCGCGTCATCTGTCAAACAAAACTATTAAACGTAAACAAATCTTTAACCTAATTTCTTATACGAAATGTCATTATTATTATTATTATTTATGATGCCTGTACTGTGTAAATTTGTCATAATTATAATCCGTTTTTGTTCCCCGAGCGTTTAACATTTGACATCAAGCTAGATAGCTCAGATGGTAGGGCGGTCGCTTGGCATGCGAGAGGTATTTTTTTATTTCATAAATTTGTTGTTTCTTCGTTAAACAGTGCAGTGTTCGGTTGGGTTGGTTGGTTTGTTTTAGTTTTATCGTAACATAAAATCTACTAGAAGTTGTCGAACTTTTTTTATTTTATTTATTTTATCGTAACATAAATTTGCCCATTTTAGTTGGGTTTTTTGCTCATGGGGCGGGGTCGGTTGGGTTGTGTTGTTGAGTTTGGGTTGGTTTGGTTTTATGGTTTTAATAGTTTTGTTTGACAGATGACGCGGAGAAACGTGGCAACAGTGGGTGTTCCCTGGGTTAATTAACTTCTCGTCATTTCAAGCATGCGGACGGGATAAATCACAAAACTGTTTTTATAAAAAAAATGGTAGGTAATTTATTATATAATATTTTGGCATCAAAATTGTCTTTTAATAGGCTATACATTAATTTAAAAAAAACGCAAGAATTTGTTTATAAAAGTAGAGATAATTTTAATAATTGACAAGTGTAAATCTTTTTTTTGTCCCGCCCACACCTTTCAATTATTAAAACTATCTCTACTTATATTTTTTGCGTTTTTTTATTTAATGTATAGCCTAATAAAAGAAGAATATATAAAAATATTATATAATAAATTATCTAATTTTTTTTTATAAAAACAGTTTTGTAATTCGTGCGTTTTGCGAGCCTGAAATGGCCCAGATGTCAGATTTTATTTATTTATTTTTGAAAATCATTTAATTATCTACTTATTGGAGTAGATTAAGTATAGTATTACACTCGAGATTTTGCGCATTATCTCTCGTATAATAATATACTATTATTCATAGAGCCTACACAAGGAGTATAATTTCCATGTATACATATACATACAGGGTGTCCCAGAACTCGCGCCACAGAGAAAAAGGGGGCGTGCCGATAGCAATGGAGATGCTAAATTTAAAAATAAAAAATTTCTAGGTAATAGTGTAATCGAATGAGAGCAAAAAAGCGGCAGCCAATACCGAGAGCTCTCGCCTAGGTTAAACGTAAGAGCTTTAAAAATTGCTAGGAGACGATAGAACATTGTTGTATTAAAAACATTTAAAAATCTTTTGGCCAACTGTATTTACTAAGTTGTCAAAAGCTTTCAAAAATGAGGTTATTAATCTATGACTTATACTTCAGAACGCCAATGTTTTAAAATAACGATTAGGAAAGGGCTGGGAAAAAACTCGCGTTGTCTCCCTGGCGTTGCGCCCACACTAAATAAATAAATAGTTATCATTTCAGTATAATCATCTAAGGAAAACATTATTTATAATAACTTAATTTATAACCTAATATAATATTAATGACAGGAGTTTGACAGCAGTGTCACAATGAATTGGATTCCAGTGGACCAAATATTTTACATATTTTTTATTATCAACAATGCAACCTAAGTATCCTAGCAATTTAAAGAATTCCCTATGGCCATCTATTGGGATTGGCTATCGTTTTTTATTCTTATCTCGCTTATCCTTTGCATTAGACAATTTTAATTTTCAAATATGTGTTTCACGTTACTTTCGGCACGTTCCGGTTTTCTATGTGGCGCGAGTTCTGGGACACCCTGTATAAATGGCTTACCAAAATAAGAGGGCGCTAGTTTTCCGTTTGTACCAAAACAGTGAAGGGCATAGACATATTAAAAGAGTGGACGCGTAACGCATACTTTTGTGTATTAAAGTGAAGTGTTGAATAACTGAACCGAAATTTGACAATGAAATTAACCTCAAAGCGACAAGTTTGTTTTGTGTTTTTGTTAAAATACAATGGTAGTTTGTTGTGCGTTTGGTTGTAGAAGTTGTATGTTATATAAGGTTTTAAAGTGTCGGAAAAAAACCTGTTTTTTTTTTCAGGCCTTGGAAAAATTGGCTTTTTTGGGAAATATTGACTTTTTTTTGGAAAATATACACATTTGAAAAAAAATAGCAATCAACAACTTTATTAAAAAAACGTTTAGTTTTTTAAATTAAATTTAAGAAAATAAACGTGAACGTCTGTTGGGTTTGTTTGTTTCAAAAAGGAGTCCATTAAAAATATCTAACTACAAAATAATGAATGATTTATAAAGTTAAAGTACAAAATTATAATTTTATAAATCGAAGTGTTAAATAAAAGTTATGTTAATACAGCACCGAATATGTTTTTATGCGGCCCGGTAAATAAAATAGTTATTATAATCATAATATTATATGATAATAATCAGCGTCGGAAATTTACTTTTTTCTCGTACAGTGTACAGTAAACACGGGTGTCTTTAGCTCACTTTCAAACTTAAGCTTAAAATTTTTGTGCTTTTACCAATCATAAACATTAAATATTGTATACCAAAATTTAAGTCTTAATTTGCTTTCATAATAACTATGTTATAATATTCCGTAGGGCTGATTTCAAAAATAAAAAAACTGGGTGTGCAAAGTTACCTAGTAGCGGGTAACTGTCTCACACACCGTATAAAATTAACTCAATATTTTATTTTATTTTTATTAGACACATGTTAGCAGCGATATATAGCGCCTGCAAGGCTGCAAGGATAAAATAAATAAAAAATCGACCTGTACTTAACCAAGGATCATCATTCCAAAGGATTGCGCCTTATATAGAAATTGTAACTCGTGTATTTATTTCTATGAGTTCTGCACTGATGAAATATAAACAATCTTAAAGTGTAATAAATCCCATTTATTTCTTTAAAACACTGATTTTCCTGTAATATAAACCCAATAGAATCGCTCAATTGACAGGTTTAGACCAACAGAAAAGATTTTTTATAAAAAGGTTAAAGTCACCCGTGGGGTGCAAAGCCGAATACTATCCGTAAAAATTGGAACTTTTCAGAAAAATTGACATTTTTTTTTCGTATTACCCTTTGAATAAAATTTAAGAAATTAAAAAGTCAATTTTTCTGAAAATTTCCCAATTTTTCTTTTTTTTTTTCGGAAATTTTAAAACCCTAATGTTAAAACGAGGAGAATAAAGAGTCTGTAATAACCTTTCACAGGTAACATAACCTTTAACAGGTAAAAATCTATATTATTGATTTAAGCGAGATTCATAAACTTTCGGTTCGCACTCAAAATTAAACCTTTAAAGTACAGTTGCTTTTCGGTTGGCGCTGGGTGCCGTTCGAGATGGTTTATCTTTTTTGTTGCGCAATTTACCAACAGATGCCGCGATCAAAGTTTGTAACAGAATCTCGAAACAACCAATGAAATTTAAAGGCAGAGTCATGTGATCGCCCAGGCTGTGTTCGATGTAGACATCGAACGTTGATCATCGATGCCTATGAAAAATCGGGTGATAAACATTGATGTTTTATATAGACTTAATACGTTTTGTTATAAATAGGTCACCTACTTTGGTGCGAGTAAGTAAATTTATCTACTCCTACGAGCTGTGACTTTATGACGTTTTAGTCACTGGCTAAAGTTACTAATAGTGGCTTTTGGGCACGGGCTGAAGTTAGCTTTATTATAAATTAGAGAAAAGTGAGGTTAATTCCGTTGACATTTGACAGATATCAAATGTTTAACAAATAAAATTGGATTTAAATTCTTTTTTGTGGTCGTCGTAGATAATGTATAGTATGCAACTCGTTTTATAAACTTATTTAGACACTCGTTTTTATTAAACACACGCCTGCAAGCTTCGCTCGTGCTTCGTAAAACTCGTAACTAAAATGGCGTTTATAAAACTTAATACATCATATACTATTATATAATACATATATGAGTATACTCATAATTCACAAAAAAGATTTATGCAGCTTAAAAAAGCTTTATAAAAATAAACTCATAAAAAAAAGTATGCATTAAGTATGTTCTACATACTACGAATCAAATTACTATCGAGTTTTCAAAAGTATGACAGAAATAAAGTTATGAGGCGGTTAACCGGTTTTTAACCGGTGAAAAAAATTGATTTAACCGTCATTTTTTATTATTAAGTGTAACCGCGGTTTTCATGGTTAACGAATCCTTCTGAAAGGCCCAATACAAACATTATATAAAAATAAATTTAAATTTAAATATGTGGTGGTTAATTCTTTATTTGACTTTTTTCTTTACCAGATCTTAGTTTAATAATTCACGATAATTTTATTTTTTTTTATTTAAATTTGTGTCTTCATTTTTAATAGTTATAATTCTTAACAATTGTTAACTCGTTTAAGGTTTCGCATTTATTTATTATCAGAAATAATTTATTAAGTTTAAAGATTTAGCCAATCCAATTTCAAAAATGTTTGAAAACCGTTTTTGAAAATAGGTTATAAAATACTCCAGCAGAAAATGGTTAAATAAAAAGGTTAAAAAATAATGCAGTATTTCACAGTTAAGATAAAACAATTTTGACCGGTCTGGAATCGGCCAAGAAAACTGATTATCACTGGTCGAAAAAAATCGATTTTTAACCGGTCAAAAATACTATAACTAACCGGTTTTAGACGTTTAAAAACTGGTTTTTAACTGGTCAAAAACAAGTTTTAACCAGTCAAAAAATCGAATAAACCGAAAACCGGTTTGTATTAAAAGTGTAACCAGGGTTTTATGAAAAATAAAAAGCGGTTAACCGAACACTTCTAACTGCTAACCACTAACAGAGCATTGAACTAACAAAAAAAACACAAGCAAAGTGCCGGTACGGTTCCAGCAGCAGAATGTCGTCCGGTCCATTACTGGACCATTTAAAAATGTCTATTTTTACAGAACCGGCAATTGGCCGGGCGGCATGTAGACAAAACGTACCACGTGCGTATTCACCACGTTTTATCTAGATAGGGTCGAAATCGGGTACGGTTTGTCTCTACTATGGAGCCTACACAAGAAGCCTGAACTTAATAGGGGAAATCGACAAAACCTGCCCTCTAAATCGCACAAATTAGGTCTTTTTTTTTCACCACCAGCGGTGCTGATTTTCGATGAGTATTGACGTCTGCTGTTTTGGTAGCGTTTCAGTATAAATCAAACAATATACTGAACATCAGCGTCCTCTTATCTAAGGAAGATTTTTCTATACATGGAGTTTGTCCTTTGTCCTTGTCCATGGTCTCTACTCTCGCGGCGACGGAAACGCGGTACGTTTTGTTTAGTCATTGACAAATGCTTGTTAAAATAAAAAAATGTTAGGATACTTTTCTCAGCAGTTGCGAAAGCCATATTACTATTCGAAAACGCCATGGATCGGCCATTCGCGTGCAACCTACTGCAATAGCCAGAAGAAATCCAATGGCCACAAGAGGCAGCAAACGATTGTCAACTGGTCGGCCAGCTTCCAATGAAGTTATTAAAAAAAAGCATAATTTAGCAAGTAACGTAAATAACAATGCTAAAGGGCATGCATGGTTCTGGATAAATTATTTTTTCCAATAAATAAAAAAAACTGTTTTTGTGACTTTTTTTCAATTAAATCCGTTTAAATTACATAAGCACAGCAGCGCATAAAGAAAATTTAAAAAGACTCATGGTAGGATAATCTGTACCTGATTTCGACCTATCTAGACAAAACTACATAATATTATGCGGTCTTTCATTCAGAATAATTTTATTTATAATTAAATTATGCATGAAACTGTTGTTGTTTTGGTACTGTTTTTTCCACATTTTCAACTTTCTGATTACGCGTCCACTCTTTTAATATGACTATGGAGCGTTTATTTTTTCAACACTAGCAGTGCTCACAGATTATAAAAGCCTGCTTATTAGGCTGGGCCGAAATAATTATTTTTGGAAATCTCACTTGCCTTAGTTGTGAAAAGGGTATTTGTATAAGCAGTTGAAATTGAAATTTTTAAAAATAATTTTAGCCGCGCCCCCGGGGGATTGAATGTCTTAAAATTAAGACAATTTTTTTAACTTACATTTTGAATTTGGCATATTGAAAAACTATAAGGTATTAACTCACTTGTAACACAAAAAAAATCCTATTAATATATTTTAATTTCAAGCCCCGTCCCAAAGCTTTTAAAGTTCTAATATGCAGCTCTTCGATTAAAAAAAGCCGTGGGGCCCGGTGTAAAATTAAAATATATATATAATTTTTTTTGTGTGTCTTAAGTAAGCTAATAGCTAATAGTTTTTTAATATGCCAAATTCAAAATTTAAATATTTTTTTATTGAATTTTAAGAAAATTCAAACCCCCGGGGGCGCGGCTAAATTTGTTTTTAAAAATTTAAAAAATACAGCTTATTTTTGTACCCTTCTTACAACTTTTTTTAACTAAGCCAAGTGAGATTTCCAAAAAAAATTTTTAGTTGCCTTTTTCAGCCCAGCCTACTGCTTATACCCCTCCACCACAGACATATTAATATACCTACCCCTCCACCATTAACTATGGTATATAATATAATATTAAAATTATGTCAATGGTAAAGAGGTATAAGCAGATGTCAGATGTAACCAGGGTTTTTTAAAAGTAAGTTTTTTAACTTTATTATTATTTTTTATTTTGTTAAAACATTACATTTTTATGTATGTAAAAAAATAGTATTTAATCAAAATCAGTACACTCTAAAACTAGAAACGATCAAACCATTGACCAAACAAAACATAATATTAAAGTTCGGGGGTTCCCCTTCCGATCTATAGATCGGCAAAATATTGTGCATTTTATAGTTGACAAACGACTGCCAAAATAAGTCGTGAAGGAGAATGTATTAGAATTTTTCTTATTTTTAGATAATTATGTCTTCATTATATTTACTAGATTTAAGTACGCATTTAAATTAACACCAGCACCCTTGGTGCAATTCTTAATTAAAGAACCATGTCAAACATCTCATAAATTACCTTTGTATATAAGATTCATTTAAGAGGGCCACACACTAAGGGGTTTGGGGCATATTTTCGTGAGAACTGAATGTATTAGAGTTTGTTTTTATATATAATAATTAGTAAATTACTTAAAGAACTACCCGTGCTTAATTAAAATACATCTCTAACATTATTGACAGTATTTCTTTTTAAACTTTGTTATTTTACTAAAATCTGTATAGAATTAAAAAACCATAGAAAACCCACTTATAAACGCCAAAAAAGCCCAATGGGTTGGGTTTTATTTAAAAAACCCGTTATTTTTCCAACCCTGGATGTACCTAACGTTTATAATCTGTACAGGCGCTAGTTGTAAAATCAGCGCCGCTATAGCGCGCTAGTGGTGAAAAAAGAAAATGTGCAATTAAGTAGGCAGTTTATGAAAATTTCCCATATTAAGTTTCTACTCCTTGTGTAGGCATCATGCTTTTATTTAAAAAAACACACAAATCAATGGATGAAAACTTACCTCAGGTGCTGCATAGTTAGGGGATCCACAACTGGTTCTTAAAAATTCCCCATCCATCATCATATTGGAAAGTCCAAAATCGGCAATTTTAACGTGCATATTATGATCCAATAACAAATTTTCAGGTTTTAAATCTCTGTGTACAATCATATGCCTGTGACAGTAATCAACCCCTGATATTATTTGCTGAAAAAATCTGCGAGCTTCATGCTCTTGTAATTTACCATGGTTAACAATATAATCAAATAATTCCCCGCCAGAAACGTACTCCATGATCATAAATATGTCTGTAGGGGTACTGATAACTTGGTACAATTTAATAATATGGGGGTGTCTGAACAGTTTCAGGTTTTGTATTTCTCTACGAATCTTGCCAACCACATCTAGGCTCTTGATTTTTTGACGGTTAAGGATTTTCACGGCCACCTTGTGCTTCGTGAGTTGATGCTCACCTATTTTCACTTTTCCAAAGGTACCAACTCCCAGAGTTTGCCCCAAAATGTAGTGGCCAATTTTGACCAGGGGCTGTGCCCCTGACAGAGAGTTTTCGCTCATTGTTTCGACAATAACTTTATCCAAAAACAAATCTATTCGTGCACATTTAAATTTGCGAAGTAAATTACTTTGTAACTCGCTGAAAAATACGTACTATCTTCGCTCACACAAGGATTTTGACAGACAGTCTGTCAAATAAACGTCAAAAACAAACCTCACGAGATAAAAAACCCTAATTTATTTTCGTTCTATTTGTGGTTTTTAGGATAGATTTAGGGAGAATTTAATTTATATCACGCACTAATAATTAAAATTTACGCTCGTATTATAAAAACAGAGTGCATGGAACGCTACCTCATACCTATTATAAGTTATATTAAATATATATATATTTTTTAAGTGACAGAAGTCAATGTCAAAATTTGATGTTGACAAATATTTGTTTATTTGAAAACAAATGAATTACTACTTGTTTACTTGATTTTTAGGTAAGAAACATATTAAAAATATCTTCCCTTTGTTACCCTCATACATAATTTTATAATATGATATTATTATGATTAATAAACCAATAATAATTGAACAAAAACATTGTTTCATTGTGTTTTAGGCATTAGATTAATTTGAAAATGGACACGGCCAGTTTTTACACTGCTGACAATCAATTCCAGAGAAATTATCAAAATCCAACTGTTCAATCTCCACTTGATATCTGTAAGTTACGGCCTCTCATTCTTTATAAATTCATAAAACAATATTTTAGCTCATTCAAATAGCATTAATACAATACATTCAATTAACAGGGAGTTTATTTCGGAAAATTTAATAGCAGGACAGAGAATGAATGGAAGAATGTCAAATATAAGACGTTTTTTTTGTTTATTTGTTACTTTCGATTTTATATTTACTGGACTTATGTGGATTATTTGTGTTATGGTAATAAAATAAAAAATTGTCTAATATAATATAATAATAATTAGGTATAATGTTTTAGTTAAAGGGAGAATATATTATTACAGCACTGAGTGAACAAATTTATCATTACAATATTCATACTTCCTTATTTGATATTGTTTTGGTTGCATTTTTAAGATTTTGCTCTCTTCTACTGTTTTATGCTATTTTATATATAAACCACTGGATTGTAATTGCGGTAATTTAAAGTTTAGAGTCTATTAACATAAAAAATTATCGTTTTTTATTTTTAGTTATCTACAGCTTTAACTTCTGCAGCTTTAATAGCAAAAGTATTTTTGTATGATGTAAGTTTTATTATATATAATAATACTTATTAAATAATTTATTTTTAGTGGCCTCATTCATCGCAGCCAGTTTTTGAAGTTTTGCTTGTTTTGACATCTTTTGTTTTGTCCTGGGGGGAAGCCTGGTTTCTTGACTTTAGGGTTATTCCCCAGGAAGAAGATGCTAGTCGTTATATTATAAGTAAATTTATATTTTAAAAAATATGGCATAATTGTTGATCTTATTTTTTAGATAATTTGGAGTCAGAAAGGGCCCCCTTGATTAGGAATTACATTCATGGGTTGCCTTCACTGTATACAGAGAGTGTAGGGAATTTTTATTCTCCTTTAGGAACCCCGGAGGGTTCTTTGCATAGGTTTGCTGATCAGCTGCATCAGTATCCTTCAGCTAGATTTTCAAGGGAACAGGTAAAAATACCGACTCACCCCTGTAAAATCTTTATTTGTTGTGCAATTTTAACCGGATTTGTTTTAAAGTGTTGATCTTAATAAACTGTATTTTTGGAGCAAAAACCACTATATTTTTACAAAATACAAGGCCTACTATGTCAGTTTTTGAGGGTAAATTTTTCATATTAGCGTTTAAAAAAATAAAAGTCTATGCACAGCAATCACCACCCCTAAAAATGACAACCCCTAAAAATGACCGTATGCTAAATTTCATTAAATACCTTTAAGTAGGAACGATTTTGTAGTCAAATTAAAAATGAACAATTACTACAAAAATTTATTCTGTCAAGTTATCCATGAAAAAAACATTGAAATAAAATTAAATACCTAGTAACATGCTATAAATATTCCTATGTTTGGTTTTGACAAATAAAAAACGCAATAGAAACACGTTCACTACCGCCGTGTTACAACTGGTCGCTTGTAATAAACCAACTTCGACATCTTTTGAACCCATAAACTGGCGTAGGAAATAAACCTGAGTCACTGTAAATAAAGCCACAAAAGTGAACCAGAGGCCACTTAACTGGCCGTGCGCGCGTTATAGACCGAAGACAACATACAAGTCACTACTTGTGACCCAGCTAAATTTATATTGCACCTAAGTAAGATTAAATTTGAGGCCAGTATAGTGGCCGCGGTTCATGATGAGCCAACCGATTGGCCACTATAGTGGTCGCCGGTAGTGAACTTGTTAAAACAAAAATAGAGAATTCAAAAAATTCTCTATAACTTATAGACTTATAGACTATAAGTAATTAGATTTTAATTACCTCTCCTGTACAAGAACAACGAGCAAGGGTAATACAAGCCTGCACAGCCATTACTCTAGAACAAATATGAAAGTGTATTGAAATATATGGTTAGTAGAGGTGACGAAAATCTAATAAAGAATTTTTGGAATTCTCTATTTTTTGTTTTATTGTTGTTTTAAGTTTCTATTGCGTTTTTTATTTAAGCATAAGAATATTTATACCATGTTACTATTAGTTTAAATTTATATCAATGTTTTTTTCATGGATAACTTGACAGAATAAATTTTTGCAAATAGTAATTATTGTGCGTTTTTAATTTAGCTACAAAATCGTTTCAATAAAATTTAGTATAGGGTAGTTTTGAGGGGTGGTGCAGTGCCGTGCGAAGACTTACAAAAAAATCGATAATATAAATTCTTAAAAGTTTACTCTCAAAAACTGGCATAGTAGGCCTTGTATTTTATAAAAATATAGTGTTTTTTGCTCCAAAAATGAAGTTGATCAAGATCTACCTTTTAAAACCTATCCGGTTAAAATCGCACAATAAATAAAGATTTTACTGGGATGAGTCGCAAACAAATGGGTCACACTTTATATATTAGGGTGATTAAAAAAAATCGAATATTTTTTTTTACTTCCGACACTGAAAAATTGGTTCTTAAGCACCTCTAGAAATTGCTTACCAAATATAAGCCCTTAATATTAATAAACGATTAATAATGAAACATGGTCTTTTTATAAGGGACTAAAGAAAAAATGGAAAACTATGATCAGGAGGATCTTCCTAATAATATTAAGAGCTAAAATTTGGTGAACACTTTCTAGAGGTGACTAAAAACCAATTTTTCAGCGTCGGAAGTAAAAAAAATCGATTTTTTTAAATTACTTTTATATACAGGGTGTTTCACATACGTGGTTCATTAGAAGTTTCTGGAGAACGAAAAAAGATATCGATTTAAAATTTTAAAAGTTTTATAATCCATTTAAGTCTATTTTTCTAAAATATTTTAAACGAAATGCTACTTCCGGTTTATCCGACATCAACTTTGTTATTTTAAATAGAACCCCCATATATTTTTACATTTTTAAATTCTACATAACATTCTGATTAAAATTACTATACCTTGTCCTATACCTAAAGTGAATAGTTTTGGAGTTATTAATTTTTTTCGTTAAAATTTGAGAAATGCTTGTCCATAACTTTTTTATTGGTTTGTGAATATGGGGTTGGAACCTGAGAAACCCCAGGGCAAATTAGGCTAACTTGAAAGGTTAATAACTTTTTTATTTTAAACCTAACAACCAGTATGTTTTTACCTAGTCCAATAGTAAATTAAAAAACCTTTCAATTGATGTTACTATTCCCTAGGGATTTAGGTATAGCTATACCTAAAGTTAATAATTTCGGAGATATTTAACAGTTTCTAAAATTTTAATTATTATTTTGTATCAAGAAACCTGTGACGGGTGAGTTGATGGTATCTATGATTACCATGTAATCTGTCATTGTTTAAAATTTAATGGCGTTTTTTTGTTGTTATAAACAATTTTTTGACTAATTAAGTGTCCTGTAAACAATATTACTGTTAAAAAAATAGCAGTCAGTGACTTATAAAAAACATTGACAAGCTAAATATTTTAAAAATTTAAAAGCTATACAAACAAAATTAGCAAATACTAATTTTGAAAAAAACTCAACAAAGCTGTTGGATGTCAACACAGTTAAAGCACTAGCTCATTGCAGGCAATAAAATATAAAATGTATTTTATGAAATATTTAAATAACAAAAAGAATGCTTAACTGTAACAATTTTATAAACTAAAAATATTTTAATTAACAATTTTTATTACAATTTGATTACTAAAGTCGTTTTTTCGCGTAAATACTATGTAATACTACGGTTAAATAAGTCATGACGTCACAGTTAATTCATATAACCATGGTTAGGTTTCTAACATTTGACATTTGTTTACTTGTTCATAACCTATAATTTTTGAAATGTGTTTTTACCTATTTATATTTAATTTCTATGCTTTTACAGGTGTAAATAAATTTCTTTGCCTCTTCTTATACCTTGTATATTCTTTTTCTATGAACCCTAGTTCTTATACCTCTTTTTATATATAAACAGTTCCTCCCTGTTGTTTACCATAACTAAAATCCAACAGTGTTTAACGTTTATACGAAAATTATTATTGTGAAACTCAAAATTTAGAATGGAACCCCAAAGAAAAAGACGAAGGTTGGCGGTATGTTTTGGAGAAGATATACATATATTTAATATGTTTAGCACACAACATTATTCCTACATAAACATATTAAATATATATATTAAAAAGAGAAAGACTATTAACCACGTTGAATAACTAGCTCAGCGATATAGTTTTATGGTCTGGTATTTGTGACGTCATAGTTAGGATTTTTGAACGCACTCTAAACGCAAAAATGCCTTAACTATTAACCAAGGTTAAGTTTAATGACCATAGTATTTCATGGTATTTACGCGAAAAAACGACTTAAATGTTTCAAGTGTCCTCCATTTACATTCAAGCATTTCTTAATTTTTACTGCTATTTTATATCAGTAATTTTGTTTACAAATAACTTTGTTAGTCAAAAAATTGTTTATAACAACCTGAAAAATTGACGCCATTAAATTTTGAACAATGACAGATTACGTGGTAACCATAGATACCGTCAACTCACCCATCACAGGTTTCTTGATAAAAAATAATATTTAAAATTTTAGAAATTGTTAAATATCTCTAAAATTATTAACTTTAGGTATAGGAAATAGAAACATCATTCGAAAGGTTTTTTAATTTACTATTGGATTATGTAAAAACATACCGGGTGTTACACTAAAAATAAAAAAGTTATTAACCTTTCAAGTTGACCTAATTTGCCCTGGCTTTTCTCAGGTAATTTGTTGAAAAATGTAAAGAATTGACATGGAATCTTTTAAACATTGTTTTTAGATTCCACAAATTCCAACCCTATAATAACAAAAAAGTTATAGGCTATTTTTATTGACGCGCATATGTCAAATTTTAACGAACAAAATTGATAACTTCACTTTAGGTATAGGACATGATATAGGTAGTACTTTTATTCAGAATTTTATGTAGAATTTAAAAATGTAAAAATATATGGGGTGTTTAATTTGAAATAACAAAGTTGATGTCACTTCCGGTTAAACCGGTATTTTGTTTAAAATATTTTAGAAAAATAGACTTAAATGGATTTTAAACGCTTTTAAAATCGATATCTTTTTCCGTTCCCCAGAAACTTCTATTGGACCACGAATGTGAAACACCCTGTATATGTTATATAATATAATATATTATATCAATTAAAATAATAAACAAGTTTAATAATATTTTTATGAAAGTAAAAAATTAAAATAAAAAAATAATTTGCGAATTACAAAAAATAATAAAAATTGAGAAAAATTATAGAAAATCTTAAAAATTGTACTTTTTATTTATTCAAAATATTTAATAAATACATGAAAACCAACAATGTTTTATTAAAAGAGTTTGATCTTCATAAATTAAAGCATTACAGCAAATTTTACTTTTAAATTTTTATGTCACTGCCTATAAATTTAGAACAGTTCTTAGCTTAGGTTCAAAGAATAAAATACTCAAGTACCCAAATAAAATGGTACCACCTAAATTCATTGTTAAATTAATTTAATTTAATATTTTTAATTATTTTTAGGAAGACCACCACAAATCCGTAGCAGCAAGAACGCTACAAGACGCATGGGATTTATTGCAAAAAAGAGACTGGAATCTGGAAAAAAACAATGGAGACGATTTTGTGGAAAGTAGAATGGAAAAAGGAGGAAAAATATTTTTGTTAAATGTGAGAATTTAAAGGTTATTTAATATAATCCAGTGACTAGTGTTTTTTTGACAAATGTTCTTTGACAGAAGACACCAAAGATTTTTTAAAGAAATTTTTACAATTTGGTGAACAAAATATCACAAACTGTTGATTGCATTTTCACCACATGTCACATCAAAGTTAAAACACTTTATTTACTTGTTACATTTTATAAAATTTATGTTTATATGTTATATGTTTAAATATGATTATATCTTCGTTTATTTAGAAGGTGTTTGGGTCAAACTAAAAAGATTTTGTGAAGAGATGTTTACTTTACAATTCGGTAAAAGAAAATCATAAACTGGTGATCGCATTTTCACCACAGGTGACCCAAAGTTAAAACATTTTTTTTTGTATTAAATTTTATTACAATCTATTCATCATAAAATTACTTTGGCAGATGTCTGGTGTGCATTATCATTGCTATAGTCTACTATACAAATTTCGGTGTATTTCAAGGGTGGTGTGATTTTAGGCGCAAATGGACGTTTCTCCGAAATATCTGTTGGACGATTTGTATTATAAGGTGCAGGAGTTGCCGGCGTGGAACCCGGCGATTTTGGAATCTCAAAAAGTGCAGGCGATAGACGAGTACACCGATATTTGCTATCAGGTTTCGGCGGACGCCGCTGGGGGGCTCGTGAAGAGTCGCGATTTCGTCACGTTACGCCACTGGGCGCAAGTGGAAGATTGTTTCGTGATTGCCATGGTCAGAACTGAGCACCCGTCTTTTCCCGTGGATAAATATATTAGGTGGGTAATTTGTATATTTTTTTAATAATTAATAAAACGATTTTAGATTTTTTTATCATTTCACAATATTCTTGTTTTAGGGGCGAAACAGGAGTAGGTTGCCATGTAATGCAAACCATTCCAAATGAACCAAACAAGTGCAATTTCAAGTGGATGATAAACACAAACTTAAAACTGAAATTCGTCCCAAAATCGGTCATTGAGAAAGAAATGATCGCTATGATGTTTAAATACGCAAAAGACCTAAGAAATCACTTAAAACCCGAAATTATTTGAGTTTTTAGTCTAAAATATGCAGTTTTTGACCATCAAAATGTCTATTTAGGATCTTAAGACTTGATTAACAAGGTAAAACATGACAAAAAGATATTTATGCCAAATAGTTTTTACAGATTATTACTTGCCATATCATGGAGCAGACATAGTTTTAATTCTAATATCTTAAAACAATTTTCATTAATTTCATTTAGATATGGGCATATACAGAGTGTCCTGAAAATAGTCCTCTAATATTTTGTTTTTAATGTTTTTTTCACATTTTTTCAAACATTTATTTAAAATTTAAAACAAAACAATTGCTTATTTATAATTAAAATTGTGAGTGCTATATTTTATAAATACTATATTTTATAAATACAGAATACAGAAATTTTTTGTTTTGAATAATGAAACAATTTAAAATCATTATTTTTATTGCATTTTTGTATTAGTATATTTAAATAAAACATAGCATTTCTAGAATATGTAGCATTTAATAATTACATTTTAATTAATATCGTCCTATTTATTTATAGTTAGGTACCCAATTTAAAAGATATGTTTATATAAAACCTAAAGTGGTACTTTTTGGCATTTATATATTTAAATTATTTGATTAAAAAAATTGTCTGTGATTATAATATAATATGTAAATTTTAATAAATATGAATTTATTATGAATATTATACTTTTATTAAATAAATTTAATCAACCACAAAACAGTTAAAGTCGAAACTTCAAGTTTGAAGTCTAAACAACCAATTGTTAAATTAAGTAAAAATGTCAGGTAGCACAGAACCAGTTCCTGATGATTTGGAAGATATTTTCGGTTTTAAAGCAGCCAAAGAAAGATTGGAGCAAGGCACAAAACTAACGATTCAAAATCCAGATAATAAAAATGACGCATCTTTTATTAAACACAGAGTGTTCATGAATTGCGTGGATTCTTTTAATAGCCGTTATATTGCTGCTGTAAGTAAACAGTACCCAAGTGAATCTACTATATCAACAGAAAAATTCAGTACATTACAGATCAAATATATGGGGCTTCGCGTATCATAGGTATGGATGAGGCGCAGGGAGAGGAAGAAGCCAACCAAAACATGGAGGTAATTCCACAGAACAAATATGAAGTAATAGGAACCATGCAGTTTGGTTTTCATAAACCTACAGAAGATATTTTGTTTACTCTTTCTGACGAGGACGAGGAAAAATTTCACGTTGAGTTGCTAAAATGCGGATATATAATCTATGATATTACACAGAATCCAGATGAGATTAAAAAGGCGATAAATACGTTAAACTGTATGTAAAATTATTGTAAAAATGTTAATACAGGTAATGTTTTTTAGTTCTTGAAGCAGAAATTGAAAAAATTAAAGAAATCGGACCAAAAACGTTTAGTCGTTTAGAAGAAGAAAGAATATTTATTTTAATATCCACTGTAATGACTTGGGGAAAAACAAAACCATTAAATCCTGTAAGTGGGGTAAACATTAAAAAGAAACTTTTTAACGTTTTTTGTTTGATTAAGAGAGATCCAACATTGGCTTATACAGAATCAAAATACAAAAAAAGAAAAGCTCATCCCAATTATGAAGATCACATTGCTTGTGAACGGGAAGTTGTCTTAAGAGGAAGAAAGGTACTTGGTAACACTTTAAGTAGCTACCTATTCTGGGATTTAAAAAATGTGTTTTAGGATAAGGACCATTTAAAAACTTATGTAGTTTGTTCTGGGATTGTATATGGGGAGGAGGAGCTAGACTTAACTCCAATTTTCAAATTAGCCTGGCTTAACGAGTCCTATTTACCGTGCTTTTACCCTGGAACAAACTCTGTTCCATTAATCCATGTAGGAGATCTAGCTCGGTAAATATTTTACTTTTTACTTAAAAATTATCAGTAATGGGACCGTTTAAAAATTACGTCACAAATTTCAACCCCCCCCTTTAAAATAATATTCTCGGAATATTCTCCGTAAAGCGAAAAATTCTCCGTCCCATTCAGCATGTTACACCAAATTAGCGGCAAGTTTAAAAATTTTTGATTTGATTTGATGTTGATGTAACCCCCCTCCCTCTCACGTTTTCGTGGACCCTCGTTTCCCCCTAAAAGCGTAACGTTATTTTTGATCAGCCCCAATTATTTGCAATTGTAAGTACATACATATGTATTTATTGTAAATGACTAGAGTACTGCATAAGCTGATGGATATTAACCCTGGGACTCCTCAGTACATCTTGGCTGTAGAACCATCTCCAACATCTTTAAAAAAAATTCTGGTCGCTCTATCGAAAGCACTGGGTAGCGGAAGAACTAAAAATGTATCTCAGGCAGAAGCTTTTTTGTATAATGAGTTCAACGTATGTAGACTGGCATAATATTAAAATAATCTCAATTAGACATTCTTAGCAACGTTTTTTCGACCTCTGCACTCTCGACATAAGAATGGAACCTGAGTTTGTATCAGACGCTTTGCAAGTAGATTGGCAGACGGAGTTAAATATAGCCCAAAATATGAAAAGAATTGCCGAGCAGTTTGTGATCAAAAGACACTTAATATCGAAGAAAATAATACTTCACGGACCTCCAGCCAGTGGAAAAACCAGATTAGCCAAAATGCTTGCCGAAAAGTACGGTCTGCATTATATTTCAATCGCCACCATGATTGAAGATATTGTGGAGAATTTGGTAAAACCACTTTTTACTTTCATTTAATTTTCCAATTATATTAATTCAATTAATCGTTTTAATTGAAAAGAGAAATAACATAGAGGACGAACAACTGCGTTTGGAGGAAGCTCGCGAACGCGCCAAAGAAAAGGAAATCCTAGAAAAAGACGATGAAGATGAAGAAATCGATGAAGAAGAAATGGAGGAGGAAGACGTAGGTGGAAACATTGAGGAGTGGGAAGAACAAATTCGTGAGATTAGAGTTGTTTTTAAAGAGAGTCCCGATCAAAAAATACCAGATGAAATGGTAATTAGATTGCTGAGAAGTTATTTGCTGCAGAACAAATGTCAATATCAAGGATATGTAATCGATGGATATCCGAAAACGTATCAGCAAGTATGTTTGGAGTTTTAGATTTTTTTGATGCGCTGAATCCGAATCCGAATTACTCTATCACGTTAGGTTTTTGGGAAATCCCAGTAGGCTCAAGTCAGCCGGCCGCGTCCCGCCCGTAGCACGTATGAGATTTGGCATATCCAACTTCCACCTGGCCGCGTGTCGGCTATGTATAGTTGGCCGAGTGTCGGCCATGACATAAAAAATTTTAGAATGTTAGAATTTCTCAAAAACCTGATATCATGGAGCCATTCTGAGATCGTACTTGTATTAAGCACTTCAAAAACCTTGAAGAGTATACAAGGTGCACCAAGTATCCTACTATGTATGCATGGGTATCTTTTTTATTTAAGGAGCTATAAGGTCTGTTAAATTAGAGAAAAGTTGAGTAAATACCAGTATTGAAATGGCATTTAAAAATTGTAACAAACTCAGCGGTTCCTAAATAATTTAAATAAAACTGAAAATCTTTTAAAACCAAAAATCGTTATAACTTCGTTATTTTTGGGAACTTTAAAATAAAGTAAGTTTCTCATGCAAATTTGACATTCAGGCCAATTCACTAACATGAGTCGTTAACGTTAGCCACTAGAATTATTATCGACCAATCCAGCCAATCAGGCCGATTAACACAATACAATGCGCATGAGTTGTTTTAACGCACCTACAAGAGGTGGATTAATAGTTATTTACGATATAAGTGGGATAAGAGCTTTATTAACGTACGCATGCGAAATTTGCCCAACGAGTGCGTAGCACGAGTTGGGCAATCGCAAAAGTAATAAAGCGTTATCACACGTATATTGTACAAATTTTTATCTACGCCTCTAAATGAAAAAAAATAAACGGTAATTATTTTTGTCTAAGACTTAATTTAGGGTTATTTTGACATTTTGACTTTTTTATTTGATTGGTTAAAAGCAGAGAAAAACGCGTGCGTTAATGAACTTCTTATCTCACTCAAAATGAGTGGGATAAGAAGTTCTTATCTCACTGGCGTAGATAAATATGTTAAATCGGTGTTATAGTTATTTACGATATAAGTGGGATAAGAGCTTTATTAACGTACGCATGCGAAATTTGCCAACGAGTGCGTAGCACGAGTTGGGCAATCGCAAAAGTACGTTAATAAAGCGTTATCACACGTATATTGTACAAATTTTTATCTACGCCTCTAAATGAAAAAATAAACGGTAATTATTTTTGTCTAAGACTTAATTTAGGGTTATTTTGACATTTTGACTTTTTTATTTGATTGGTTAAAAGCAGAGAAAAACGCGTGCGTTAATGAACTTCTTATCTCACTCAAAATGAGTGGGATAAGAAGTTCTTATCTCACTGGCGTAGATAAAATATTTTAGTAGTCACGAACGATTTACGAAAGTAAAAGTCTAGACCCCGCTGTTGTAATAAACGTTTTGAGTTAAATCCGAGTGAATCGAGTAAACGCACATCATGAACGCAACCCAAAATAAAAAAAAATCTTATATTTTGTAAAGCAAAAACACAGACACGCGCGCGACATACGCTTAAAATTGCGAGGTTTTTTTATCACAACCGTGCCTGGGCGCCCAAGAACATGTAGTTTTAAAGAGCCGGGGGCGAGTTGGGGCAGATAATTTATTGATGGCTTTGATAGACAAAACTGTAAGCTATTTAACGGATCTTGAACTGATGCCTAGGCATCAGTTATCGTAACCGACAAGATCGGTCTGTTAAAATCGGTCTGTTAAAATCGAGCTTTTAGAACAATGGAGCTACAAAAATTGTAATGAATTGTAAACTTACAATTGATTACAATTTTTGTAGCTCCATTGTTCTAAAAGCCCGAGTTTAACAGACCGATCTTGTCGGTTACGATAACCCGTTGTACAAGCAAAATCTACGAAAAACAAATACATATCTGAATTTTACATACCTTGAAGATCACCCTTCATCAAACCGCATAACAATCGGACACACCAAACACAAGTTATGCACTTTTAAACAATAAACAATTTTCCGCAGCGATCGCGTGTAAAGTACCTTGAACTGAAAGCGTCAAAATATACGTATTTTGTATAATTTTTTTTCAATACAGGATGGAGACTGGTATTAACTACCCATCTAACTCAAAATTTACCTGAACCCGGGATCAGTCCCGAAAAAATATATATCATTAATTTTAAAACCAATTTAAAATAAAACAACAAACAAACTAACGAACGATATCTTTCGGACTTCACACTAGTCGGAAGAATGGTTTTCAAGAATTCGTAGGCACATTGTACCCACTTTTACCCCCATTAACAAATAATTCCATTTCTTTTATCAATCGGGCCTTGGTGAGTTCCAATTGGGGCTGTAACTTACATTGAAATTATTAAGTTTGTGACATTTTTTCAGGTTTGACGTTTGAAATATGTTATATTATAGGTTATGTACATAAATTTATTCTACAGTGACCTGTAATTTTACATTTTCTTTGCTGATTTTAAGCTATAGATGGAACCACTCTTGCTATGTAATTTCAATGTATTTTCATTATTGTACGGCGGTGTATAATAATTTGACTTGAACTGAGTAAAAAATTGAAGTGTTTATATATATGCTTATGAGTATTATAATATGAAAAATGTCAAACTCTTAAAAAAAGTCTATTTTATTCTTTGTAACTTATTACTAAGATCCCGGGATTGGGACTTTTAATCCCGGGATTTTCGGGATCGGATTTTTTACGGGATCCCGGGATTGACACCCCTACACCATATACGCCATCATAGAAAAAGAACGCCATTGGCAACGGATTATGGGAAACGTCGTCACGAACCCGTTCGGTTATACCCGAAGAAGACCGATGTTTTTAAATTTAAAACTATGAGTTATAATAACGGTGTTTATATACATTTAAATAATTTAAACGATTAAAGAACGAATAGATATTATAAACTATATTTAATAGTAAATGAATCTTTCTTATAATAAGGCTAATCGATTTGTTTGTCTCTCTGTGACCCCCTCAGGCTGTCCCACGAACATCTAAAGAAGGCAAAAGAGTAACCTCATAAAAATACGTGGTTTATATAATTCGTACTTAGTTACATGATATTTCTCACAATTTATTACATATCCGAAAATTGCTTGAGGAGGTCCAATGGACGCCCTTTGGACATCATGTGCTGTGTGAAAAGAGACGTCCTATTTAGGTTATTCTCGGCTTAGCTAGGCCGAACGGGTCTGGGACATCCATAGAACGTCAAGTCTAGACCCGGTCCGGCTTAGCCTTATTAGGCGTATTTTGGACGTCCAAAATACGCCTATCCAGGCTAAGCCGGACTGGGTCTAGACTTGACGTCCTATGGATGTCCCAGACCCGTTCGGCCTGGCTAAGCCGAGAATAACCTAAATAGGATGTCCGTGGGCTATCTTGTGCTATGAGATATAACGATTCGAAAAGTTGTAAAAGTTGTAATCGTTATAATTATAACGATTACAACTTTTACAACTTTTCGAATCGATATATCTCAGAAACTGTGGCTCGTAGGAAAAAAAGTATTGATACATTTTTTATAGATAATTTTATGGTCTACAATTTTTGTTTGGGGCATTTTTATGATAAAACCTACCGTTTTGCTAAAAATCGCGACCTTTGACCTTGAATAAATTTTTTTCTATACAGGTGAATAATGGGGAACTTTAAAATTTTATTTATAATTATATTCTGAACAATTTTACTGATTTTCAGCTTGTTGTAAATTTATGTATATTTTTTGGTCTAATTTGACCGGACTAATTAAGTTTATAGGTAATTTAAAAAATTTAAGTTTTATTGCAAAAAATCACCTAAATAAGATTAGGTTATGTTATTTAAAAACTTAACAAATCAATAATTTCTTTATCCCCTCCACTTTATTTCCGACTTAATTCAAACTGATTCCCCCGCATAGCATGTGCAGTATCGGTGAGGAGGGAGCTCACTTTATGGTGAGTAAAGCAAAAAGAACGCGCACATTTGCAAATTTTACCGATGTGAGCTGAGATTAACTGAGATCTCAGGTGAAAAGAACGCACCTATTAAGAGAAGGCCAACTGTTATCTTCTTAATGATAATGTTAATTTTTATTCCTCCTGCGCAGGTTTGCAGCGCAATTTTTAAATAAACCGTCCCTATTGAAAATGCCATATAGAACCCATATTGAATCCGATAAGGAAACGTATCTGGTTCTATATGGTTTTATAGGTCCTATATGGAAAGTCCTGGTTTACATTACGGATTCTATATGGTTGAATAAGGATTTCCATTTTAAAAATTTTCATATTCAACCATATAGGGAATGTTGAAAATAGGTAATTAATATTAAAATTGTATAAGGTTAGAAAACAGTTGAAGGAAATGTAACCAAGGAAATGTTAGAATAATAATATATGTAATAAATCAGTCAGTCGAATATTAAAAAACTGTTAAAAATATAATCTGCTATTTAATTAAAATCTAACAGGTTATGGGCCCAGGCAAGTTTGGGGTTTTAAAAATCTGAGAGATATAATAAAAATAAAATCTGTGTGAAAATTAAAAAAAAAAAAAAATCTGAGTGGAATAATAATAAAAAGTCAGAAAAATGACAGAAGAAAATGAGTCTGTTTTGATCGAAAAATTAATTGATACAGAAAGTTTTGAAATATGGAGATTTCAGATTGAAATAGTATTTAAATCAAACGGACAAGATGAAATTGTAAATGGAACTAAAAAATTGGCTGACTGCATTGAAGATAAAGATAAAGCTGAGTGGAAAAGAAAGGATGCGAAAGCCCAAAAGATAATAATAACCACCATCAATAAAAAGCTGCTTATGCACATAATAAATTGTAAAACGTCAAAAGATATGTTTGACAAGTTGTGTAACATTTTTCAGAAAAATACCGAGCAACAAAAATGCAATACCCTACAAGAATTTTTTAATTATAAATATCAAAAAGGATCGGATATGTCATTGCATATTAGTAAGATTGAAAGTTTAGCATATAGATTAAAGACAGTGAACCATAATATTGATGTAGAAATGATTATATCAAAAATTCTCACAACTTTACCACAAGAATATGATGTTTTTGTCACAGCTTGGGATTCCACAACTCCAATAGAAAAAACCTTAATAAATTTAACAATGAGATTGATCTTAGAAGAACACAGAAGAAAACAGAAAGAAGTACCGTAAAACGGGGCGATTTCGGACAGCCGGGGCCACTTCGGACATCATTACCTTAAAGCTATTAAAAATTCGCGATTGGAACGTCTGACGTAACAGAGTTCTGTAATTCGGGAAAAAACTTCGTAGAAGATGGCTAAAGCTATGGCAAGAGGCACGTGGGTTCGGTTGTCAAGTGAAATAAGCTTTTTGCATCGTTTAGTCTGGAGTTCAAACTTTACTTATTTCATAACTTGGTAAAAGTAACTGGTACCAGCAAGTACATATGCACTGTATGATGAAAATAATATAGATTTTCGGTAGTACGTACGTAATTTTGTTAATAAATTATTTTTTTTTGGTTTACGTTCATATTACATTAACTTTTATACAGGGTTGTAATACAAATATTTGCATTTTAGGGGGCGACTTCGGACAGGGTTAAAGTCTATAAAAAAAATTTGTAGAGCAATTTTTACAGAAACTATACAGGGGACAATATTTTTTAATATACTAGTGTTTAGTATAAAAATAAATACATTTGTTTTATTGTTTTGATCCTCAGAATTCAATTTTATTTTATATTTTGATAAATAAAATGCCCTTTTCCATTTGAATGAGTTTTTACCTAATTCCATGCTTTTTTCCCTAATTTTATGCTTTATACTTTTTTTTAAAGCAATATTTCTGTCCGAAGTCGCCACTGAATGTGCTAGCTTCGATTATATACAATTTACAACGCTTGTCCGAAATCGCCCCACCTTAAGGGGTGACTTCGGACAGACTTTGACAAAAAAAAAGTAGTATTAGTATTTGTATGACTATTATAATTTTTACGTAAACTTAGAAGAACACAGAAGAAAACAGAAAGAGGTAGGTGATGACAATGTTGCATTTAAAGCTGAAGAGAAAAATAAAACAGATTGAAAGAAGAAATATCCAGAAAGAAAATGCTATCAATGTGGAAAAATAGGGCATATAGCCAAATATTGCAGATCTTTGGAGAAAATAAGATGCAAAATTTGTAAAAAGAGTAATCATAAAGAAGACAAATGTTTTTTTAGAAACAAAGATGATTCGAATGACATGAAAACTAATCAGAAAAATAAAGTTGCATTTTTGACACAAATAGAAAAAGGTTCCAAAAACTGAATTTATTGTAGATTCTGGATGCTCTTCACATATGCCAAATAACAAAGAATTGTTTCATTCTTTATATGACAGTAAAATAGATATTTATATGGCTAAGAATAATGAAAAAATGATTTCAGAAGGAAAAGGACAAATTATTACTGAAAAATGCATATTAAATAATGTAACTTATGTCCCTGAACTAAGCAAAAATCTTTTATCAGTTAATGCAATAACTGAAAAAGGCGGACAAGTTACTTTTTACTAAAAATAAGGTTTATGTGAGAAGAAATAACGAAAATTTAATTAGTGGAGAAAAACAAGAAAATGGACGTTACATGCTAAATACATCAAAAGAAGAGACATTTCTAGTAGAAACTAAAAAATCAGTACAAGAGTGGCATAGAAAACTTGGACATCTGAGTGTTAATAATATAAAAAAGTTATTAGATATTTCAAGTGGAATGAATATAACAAAAAGTGACTGTAACCCCAAATAAAGACAATACAAAATATTAAAATGTAAGTCAAATGTAATTCAGTGTATATGCGACAACATAAAGATTGGCACTCAGTGTATGCGCGATCCCAAGATATTAAACCAAAATAATGAAATAGTGATACAATAAAAAATCATTACCAAAAATCACTCGCTATTTACACATATTAAAATGATTAGGACCCAATAAACTAGCAATGATAAACGTCATAGTCCAAAATGCGAATTAAATAATATTGTTCAAAATTATAAGCAAAAATGTATTAAGAAAACCCAAAACGAGGAGTTGTTTATCATTACTAGCAAATATTACAATTGATAAATGTGTACATACCTAGTTATAGCAGAAAATCGGTAACAATCACAAAAACTATAGCTATATTATAATATATTTCACAAAACTGTTTAACAGGAGTATCTCGAAGGGCGAGCAAAAACCCTCTGTCTGTAGCCTATTCTATTTCCTAATCTAGCTTTTAAACATCTCGGCCACTTAAGCAAGAATGTGTCACATAAACATATCACCCTAATTATTAGGGCCTAATATTTCTACGATCAGATACAAAGAAGTAAAATTTTAAAACTCAATAGTTTTTTAAAACATAAAATAACTTAAAACTATAATATTATTTTTAGTGGATTATTTAAATTTTCCTCGGTTAAAATAGCGCCAAATTTGAATTTAAAAGTTTATGTACTACAGGACCCTTACAATATACATATTACAATTAAATCATGTATTGCTTACTTATAAGTTAGATAACATATTTTTAATTTATTTTTAAAGACCGTCAGAGAACAATTGAAAAAATCTAAATTTAGATCATTTGCTTCGGAACAGATTCTACTTAAGGGGATAAATTTACCATACGTAGTCCTATGGGTCTTTATATAAAATAATTGTTGTTGCCTTGTAATTTTTAAAGGAACATTAAAGTTTATTTACTCTAACAAGTCTAGGCAATTAATAAAATTATTTAAAAGTTTATATAAAAATAAAATGCCAAATTGACTTCTTCTTTTATCAAGTCGATCCAAATTGACAGTACTTCTAAATAAGACTAAGGAATAAGTACAGTCAATGTTCAGCTTGAATGCGCAAAATCGCAAGAATTTATTTTGTACTCGTTCGAGTTTAACCTTATTATTCTCATAATAAGGTGACCAAACAACACAACAATACTCTAGGATACTACCGTAATGCACGAATGACATATACACATTTTTTAAACATTGAACATTATTAAAATCCTTAATTTAAACATTGAACATTATTAAAATCCTTAAGACTACGTTTGACAAATCTTTAAAGATCTATTTACAATATAATCAATGTGATAGGAAAATGTTATTTTGCTTTTTATATTAGTGACTCTTTCTAAAATAATATTACCTATAGCCTATAGGTAATATTATTTTAGAAATATAGGCTATAGGTAGTATAGAGAGTACGGAAACACAATATTTCTTTAAATTCTATAAAAACTTATACACTTAAGTGTAATTACACTTATTAACATTAAGATTCATCAAATTTTGTTCACGCCACAATTGTAATTGATTGAGATCTAACTGAATATTATAGCAATCATTAAAATCATTAATTTCTTTATACAGCTTTAGGTCATCTGCAAACAACAAATATTTACAATACTTAATATCACAGCCAATATCGTTAATAAATAGATTAAATAGCAGTGGAGAAATATGTCCACCCTGAGGTACACCAGAAGTAACCCTAATTTTTCTGGACTTGATTTTGAACTATTACAGTTTGAATTCTAGAATCTAAATAACTTTTAACCATAAATAAAAAGTTCCTGTAACACCTAATGCATTTATTTTAGCCAACAGAATTTCGTGACTAACGGTGTCAAATGCCTTCGAGAAATCGGTGTAAATAGTGCCCACCTGGCTACGATTTTCTAAGGCACCTAAGTTAGGTGACCTAACATACCCACTGGGAAAGAAACCTTACAAAATATTGCTGCAATGTTCGCCGACTTTACAAATAAAATATTTCCTCTGCTACTTAAGTGCAATTGCATTAACATAAATGAAATGTTACATTTGAAATATTGCATATAATAATTTCCAACAACCTTAAATTTGAAACATTATTTAAAGATTCACATGGAAAGTTTTTACAATGTTATATTTGTAACATTTAGTATAAAATGTTGCATACAAGTTTTTAAACATTACAATTATAATATTGCAGACATAACTTTTTTTCAATGTTTCAATTGAAATATTAACACAAGTTTCAAATGAAAAATGTTTGCAACTTTACTTTAAATATACAATAAAAACATTTATTTTGGAATGTTTGGGAATATTTTTGAAACATTGCAATTATAATATTACATTGATAAATTTTGGGCAATGTTTTATCCGAAATATTACATTAAGATGATTTTTGCAATGTTACTTTATATAATCAATATAAACATTTAATTTGCAAGATTTTTGGAACATTGCAATTATAATATTACATTGATAAGTTTTGGGCAATGTTTCATCCGAAATATTACATTAAGATGATTTTTGCAATGTTGCTTTATATAAACAATATAAACATTTCATTTGCAAGATTTTTGGAACATTGTAACTAACTATAATATTCCATTTATAATTATAACTTTAGTTTTGGACTATGCATTGCAAAAATTATCTTAATGCAATATTTCGGATGAAACATGTTTCATCCGAAATATTGCATTAAGATAGTTTTTGCAATGTTGTTTGCAGACTGACTTGCCGATGCATCTCGCCGCTGTCTTGGTCATTTATATCTTTATAAGTAAACAGTGACGAATTTATGCGTGTGTCCCGTCACCGACTGCCTGACACTGATGAGACCAAACAGTGTTGCCAACACTGTGTTGGTGGGTATGGTGCATTAGTCATTGGACCATACCATTCGGGAGACGCGCTTCAAGCTCGGCTCGGTGGCGAGATGGAAAGGCATTTAAGTCTTTGCAATATTGGTTGCCTACTACTGGCGTAAAGTAGAAAAACTATTGTTTTTGATATATATATATATATATAGCTTACGGATAAATAATTATAATTAATTATTATTATAATAATTCATATTAATTTAATTGCAATGTTCCTGTAATGTTGCAGGAACCTTTCATTAACAAAAATAACATTTAGTAACATTGCAAACAATACATTTAAGCAACATTTTATTTGTAAATGTAATGTTCCTGAGCCGGACATAAGGCTTTGTTGCAATATTCCTGCAACATTGCCACAAGGATTTTTGTAACATTACATCTAACAAATGTAACGTTCAGTAACATTGTAGAAATATTATTTTTCCCAGTGGGTATCTTCCTCGTAAACCAGAAGATTCGTTAATGTAGACTTTCCTCCGCTAAAGCTTGTAAAGCTTAGCTAAGGAAAATCTACAGTTATTTAAAAATATTTCAATGGAAACATTGAAAAAAAGTTATGCCTGCAATATTATAATTGTTATGTTTAAATACTTTTATGCAACATTTTATACTAAATGTTACAAATATAACATTGTAAAAACTTTCCATGTGAATCTTTAAATAATGTTTCAAATTTAATGTTGTTGCCAACTTGTTGGAAATTATTATATGCAATATTTTAAATGAAACATTTCATTTATGTTAATGCAAGTAGCACAGGAAATATATATATTTTTTTTAGGGATGCACCGGAGTTACTGCCCACCTACTGCCTCCGGCCGATCCGGCCTATGGGGCAGCATATCCGGCTCCGGCCAAATTTTTAAACTGATCCGGCAACAACGGCCGGATTGTGGCCGGATTTTTTAAATTAAAAATAAAATATTTTTTCAAATGTTTATTATAAAAAATATATATATTCTTTTACAAATAACAAACAATTTTTTTAGAAATAATTTAAAAATAGATTAAGGATTAAACTTCATGATTTAAGCGAACATAAGATAACGAAGTCCTTAAGTTATAGTGCAAAAATTCGAGTTGTTCACCTTTCTCGGGAAGAAATCGGCTATGCGCAGTTAACAGGTGATCGTATCTATGCGCACTAAGTAACAGACGCCGTACGTATGCGCAGTGGTTTTCAGATGGTTGTATTATACCTATTATAATTATTGTACCTATGTTTTTTAATTGTTATAACTTTTAGATTAAGTAAGTATATTAATAAATATTATTTATTTATTTTTATGTTACCTATTTATTATTTTTTTAAACGTTTTATAAAGATATACTTTTTAATATAATAATGTGGTTTTAAAAACTTTTATTTATTGGTATATGTTTTTGTTTTTCCCCTAAAATAGCTATTTAACGAACTCATTTGAGTCCGTAAAATAATTCTTTTTTTGTACTAGTACGAAAAAGTTGCTATGGAAACTTTTGCAAAATGGTTCTTGAACCATTGCAATACAACAATTAAAAATAAAATTCGATAACTGTCACTGAAAGTGACTCACTGTCACTGTCAATAAACTTAATTTCGAGAAATAGGTATTTACTCTATTAAAAAGTTTGAATATATGGACCTAGAACAAAAAAATTTTGTTTGCAACATGTACCTAAAAATCATGTTTTTTAGGACGAATCGTAGCTGTTTGCGGTCGAGGCTAAGCCAAAACCAGAACAGCCGTTACATGTTACAAAAATAGCTATAATAATACGTATACGTATATAATACGTATTTATATATGTTAAATTTTATTACTTTTTAACTAATATAATATGTATATATATATATATATATATACAGGGTGTCCTGAAATTAATGCACCATACTTTAACAGCAGATTCTACGTGCAAAAATAAGAAAAAAAGTCCCTATAAACATAGGTCAAGAAATGCCTCCTAAGGGAGCTACAGCCCCCAAAAGGAAAGCCCCTGAAGATGGTTTTTATTTAATATCTCCAAAACCGTTAAAGATAGAAAAGTGAAATTTAGGGAATTAATTAAACTTTTTATGACCAATAAGACATAACAATAACACTTTAAAAAATTTCATGAGGTTTGGGTCAGATTGATAGGAAGTGGGGTTAAAACCACCTTAACTTTTTTGTACGTATCTTGTACCAGAATTTGATGTCAGATTATGAAATTTTGGAGTTTTGCACATAAAAAGGTCATCTTGTTGAACTTCGTTAACATGCACCGTTTTCGCTTAAAATCGATTTGAAAATTATTTTAAATGGCATAAAAATTCACAATTAAATCACAACCATAGAAATGGACTCGCTTGGTCCTTAGAATACGACTGCCATGTTTAGGAAAAAATGGAATAATTCAAGACAGGTGATAGTTTCATGTAGTAAGTGACAGGGTGTTTCTACTTTTTTATAAATATTAGATAAAAACCATATTCAGGGGCTCCCTTTTCGGGGGCTGCAGCCCTCTTAGGAGGCATTTCTCGATCTATATTTATAGGGACTTTTTTTCTTATTTTTGCACGTGGAATCTGCTGTTAAAGTATGGTGCACTAATTTCAGGACACCCTGTATATATATATATATATATATATATATATATAACAGGATCCCCACATACCACATCAACACGTAATTGGTAACTAAGTGCAAGATTTGCATAATACTGAAACAGAAACTGCACCTGCCTGTGTAAAAACACTGTAAGATCCGGCCGACTCCGGCGAAATCCGCCAAAATCCGGCCGATGACGCCGGATTACTGCATCCGGTAATCCGGCCAAAATCAAATCCGGTGCATCCCTAATTTTTTTTTTAATGTATTTATTGAACCCAAAAAAACAAACGTTCATAACAGGTTAACATAAATATAAAATAAAATAAGGCTTTTTGTGTTTAACAAAATACTATAAATATACAATATATACAAAATAAATTAAAGTGTGTTATTTCTAGATAATAAATAATTTTTTATAGCTCTGTTAAAGTTTATAACATCTAAGTCCTTAATACTATTTGGGAGTTCATTGTACCATTGCACAGCCGTAGTAGTTACTCTCTTCTTTCCAATGTTTTTTGCACTTGGTAAAATATAAAAGTTTTGGTTTGTGCGAGTATTGTAATGGTGAATATCACAGTTTTGCACCAATGTTATGTCAGTCTCTGTGTAAAGTCGGCGAACATTGCAGCCTATTTTTTTCAGCAGGGTGGTAACTCAAAATTTAGAAGCAAGGAAATTGGATGGAAATGTAGATTAATGTGTAAAACTAACTTTTTTTCAAAAAATCCCAGGAATAACAATTTTTCTTTTAATTATTTTTAAAACCACTTTTTAATTACGCAATTTTTCTATAAATTAACAGACCTCAAGGTCTTAAGGCTACAATTGTAACTTTTCATTAAAAAAATACCCATAGAAGTATAATATTAGTTATACACATAGACACATTGAAGACTTATCAAGAATGTTAATTTAGGCGAAGGAAATTTTTGGACAATCTGCAGAAGGAGGAGGTGAGGAGGGCGGCGCGGGGGAAGGTGAGGATGAATTCGAAGAAATGATTGGTAATGCCAGCAGTAAACTGCTTCCGCATTTTGTCATCAGTCTTAAAGCCTCGGACGATTTTCTGAACGCAAGAGTTATGGCACTTCCAGAAAGTCAAATACAAGTAAGTTGTTAGCTAGGTAGTGTTCATCGGGTAAAAAATAATTTCTCGTTTAGAATACACATTATGACGAGAAAGGCATGATTCGACGGCTAGCAGAGTTCCGAGCTAATAATACGGAGGACAACAGCATGCTGAATTTTTTCGACGAGATCGAAATTCATCCGATAATAATAAACATAGAGGACGATGATTTAACTTTGGATTGCATTCTGGAATACCTTTCTACGATTGTTGGTGAGCCGAACACGTTTGGGCTAACTCCCGAGGAAGAAGTAGAGCTGAACCGTTTGCAGGAAGAGAACGAGAGACTCAGAGAGGAGCAAGAAAAATTAAGAGCAAAAGTGAGTAGCAAAAAGAAAGACCGTTATTTATTTAGTAACGATATTATAGTTGTTATTACTCTCAAGGCTGAGGAAAATGAGTGTCAGATCGCGTTTCAAGACAAAATGGAGGAGTGGACTGATATGCTGCAAAAGTACCAAAAAGAAGAAGAAAAAGTTTTAACGGCCAAAGCGGAACCGTTAAGATTTTACCTAATGAGATACGTTTTTCCAGTTCTTATTAGAGGCTTAGTTGAGACTGCGAAGGTTAAGCCACCTGAGCCTTTGACTTTTCTGGCGGAATTTTTGTTTAAGGAAAATCCTGAAGGAAAAATGTTCGATCCCTCGTATACAGAGGATGGGGAAACTCTTTTAGTTCAGTATGAGACTAATATTGAAGGTGTAATGCTGGAAAATATACCTGATGCCTAAAATGCAATAAATTCATGGTTTTAATTAAAACAAATAATGTTCAATAATTATTATAATTTCAATTATTTATTATAATTTCTGAGATAACTATTCTACATTATTATACATTATTAGAATAATACATGGTTTGTAAATATGTAATTTATTACAATTAGTTAAAATTAAGCCATTCTGGAATGACTCCTAAGTAACTATAAGCTGTTCTAAATATTACGCAAAAACAGCGTTATATTGCGAAAAAAATAATTTCGCAATACAACAGCCCATTTATCATTAATAAGTAAATATCACTTCATCCTCTTATTTATTACTAGATAGATAGATAGATAGTTAGATATATGGATAAAAATATAAATAAATAAGATCTGTACATAAAAAATTAAGCCATTAAAAATGCTTTGGAAGAAGTCAATTCTGACAGGTTTATTGAGGTAACTAAATAAACTAAATAAAAGCAGTCCCTTTACAGGTAAGCAGTAGTATTAAGATATAAACTGTGCCAAACTTGAACAAAAACATTAGAAAATAGCAAATAATTCCACAATTCATGTACCAGCAATTCAGTTACTAGTACAAAACAAAATTATTTACAGCTAACAGACATCCTTATTTACAAACGTACGTAATAACAATCCAAACTTCACATCACAATGTTATTTTATTAAATATGAAATACTGGTACAATTTACAATTATGTAACAGTTTAAAGCTATTACGGTGACGTAAGAGCACCACACCTTTATCTGATAATATCATCTTTTATAATTTAATAACACGCAATAAAGTCCGTTTTTCTTTTAGATGAAAATCTTTTTCTAATTGTTAAGTTACCTATGTCACAGAATTAAGCTTTTGAAGTGGTGCTGCTACATGGCCATTGCCATCCAAACAAAAAACGGGCTTTAATAATATTAATGAAATTAAAAGGAGCGCTAGATACAGTGAAAAATCCATTCAACAGTGGATATGTTCGGTTATGTGCGATAATTGTGCCTTATTTGACCTTGGTCAACACATAACCAATGGAATTTAAAGGGTTAATTAGCACAAAATCGTTTGTAAATATATCAAAATAAGTTCTTTTAATAATACTGTTTTGTAGTTTCCATTAGTCAACATATAGATCGAAGAATATAAATAATAGAAATGAATGGGTAATAAATGTACATCTAATGCTTCTCACTGTTTCAGGCATTTGTACTTTTCTAAATAATTAAGTTGTTTATTATTATTATTATTAAGTATATTGGGCTTATGTTATTATATTGCAATTGCCTACATTTAACAAATTTATACGTAGCTCTAAACAAATTAACTACATTTTAACCTTTGCTTATATATTTTAACCCTTACATTCATTTCATTTGAGGGGTAAACATTTAATTTTTCTCACAAGTAGACCATTTAACAACTATTGGTTACAAAGCTGCCAATTTTATTATTGCTATTTTATATTTTTATATTATATTTCCTTACACATTATTTTAATAAACTGAACAGCTACAAAATCAGGCACTCAACATCAAGGTCTTGAAATGCCAGCTACGTAAACAACAGTTGTCGAATGACGGCAAACAACAACCCCGTATGTTGACTAATAGACACCTGATTGAATCTAATCTATTATTAAAAAGTAGTTTAACTAGCAAATAACTAGACAATAGCGCTGCTAAGCTATGGCCATAATAATAAACATCGAGAGAATTGAAATACAGATAGAGAGAGGAGAGTATAAAAGGCGTTTCGACCCCTTAGGACTTGAGGAGTTTGTTGGCGCGCTGGTTTGCCACTGCTATGCGCGTTTCGTTGCTGTCACCCTAATTAACCAACCAACAAACATCAATCAACAACATACCAGTGTGCCCCATCACATAAGTTTACATTTAAATTCTTTAAATCTTTGTTAAGTCCAGAAAAAATAGACAATTTGCTTTTTTGCTATAACCTCGCAAACGGTGCACTTTTATATTTATATTTATACATTTTATATATTTGTACATTGTGACTTAATTCCTATAAATAATGTCCAGTGGTGTTTCAGCAGGAACAATTTGTGAGATGGTAGCGCTACACTGAGACAAAAAATGTTAAGTAATAAATTGTAACAGTCAATTTCCTATAAAAATGTTCAGTGGTGTTTTTTCGTATCAGTAACCATTTGCGAGATAAAGCGCTTCAAAGATCACTCGCTCTGAGAGATCTTTAAAGCGCTTTTTCTCACAAATGGGTACTAATACGAATATACCTCTGGACATTATTTAATCTACAATTTGATTTCTAAACATTTTTGTCAAAAAGTGCACCGTTAGCGAAATATGGGCTTTCAAAAACCATGTTCATCATTGTATCTATTTTTTTCATTTTGAATTTCTAATTCTCCTGGATTCGATCTGCACCGTTCCCATCTCTTGTTCATCACCCATTCTCACTTTTTTCTCTTTTATTTTACACAGTTAGACAACACAAAAAGATTTTCCATTTTATAGGTTTGCGAATTAACAGCATTTGTTTTTTGCTAATTTTTTAACGACAAACTGATATGTAAAGGATAATGTTTCGATTGATTATTGTCGCTCGATAATAATTAAAGGTGTTATATTAATAATATTTTTTTTAAAGTTGCGATGATGGGAACGAATCAGATTGCAAATAAAGTAAAAGAAGTAATTATAATAATAATTTAATAATGATAATAAGTGTTTTTGTGTGGTTAAGTGTCTACTTGAGAAGATCGTGAGCACGTTGGTTGGCCACCTCTATCCTTGTCGCATTGGAGTCGCCCTGTTTTCGTTTTCCATGTTGTGTACATATTTTTTTTTGAGTTGTTGGGTTGGTAGTTGTTGGTGTGTCGTGGAGTGACGGAAGTAGCAATGTAAAACAAACAACATCAAAATTATTAAAAATCCAGTCAAGCAAATCAATTGTAAATTTGAGGTAAATTTAAAGTTCTAGACATACAGCATTTCCATATGTCTAAACAGTTTTGTACATGTGAAGTATTGAAATCATTTAAGCCGATAATTAAAAAGCTTTCTAAAGAACAGAGAAAAAAAGTTATATGCACTATGGTAAAAAAACAGTTGGCCAATTGTGTTTAACAAACTTAAAAAGTATATGCTAAGCTTGTTTAAAACAAACAAGTGCAGCTGCCCTGTTAAGCAAAAATGCTTTATCAGCAATATTCAATAATAAAGGACAAAATTATTTCTATTGTATATATATATATACAGGGTGTTTCTTTTAACTTGAGACAGCTCAATATCTCGAGAAATACGCATTTCACGGAAAAATGTCTTAAATAAAAGGTTAATGTGACCAAAGGGGGCATTATTTGGTGCTACCGCTAGCCACCCCCTACCCCTCCTTAAGGGTGAAACGGGGGGTAACTTTGGAAAGTCAAATGGAATGACCCGATTTTTTTCACAGTTTGGTAGTACATAAAAAAATAAAAAACTTTTATTTGAAAGTTTTTTTCAATTTATCAACAGATGGCGCTGTAATTCAAAATTTAAGAAAAAGGGGTTTCCTTGTAAAATGTATTATTTGAAACGTTTGAAAAACAAAAATTAACATTAAATCAACAATAGTCGGCTCTGAAAACAATTTATAACAAATGTTCGAAATGTCGTCCTTCCATTTCGACACCAAGTGGAGCACCAGCGTCCCTGGTCGGTAAACGTTTGGTGCGGTACCTTAAGCGAACGATTAATCGGACCCTTCTTTATTGACGGTGCATTAAATGGCGAAAAGTACCGGAATTTTCTAGAAAACGATCTGACGGACCTTTTGGAGGATGTACCACTAGCACGGCTCCAAAACATGTGGTACCAGCAAGATGGTTGTCCTGCACATTATTCGACAATTGCTCGAGAGGTGTTGGATCGGGAGTTCAATGGCCGGTGCACCGCGGTGGATCGGTAGACGTGGTCCAGTAATTTGGCCTGCTCGATCACCTGATCTTACGCCACCAGACTTCTTCCAGTGGGGTTACTTGAAAGAAAAAGTTTACGCTGCAATTCCTACAACTTGGGAGGACATGGTGGAGCGGATCAGGAACGCCTGTACGGCGATACCGCCCGACATGTTGGCGCGTTGTGTGCCAGAATCCATTACCCGCATTCAAAAATGTGTTGAAATGGAATGACGACATTTCGAACATTTGTTATAAATTGTTTTCATAGCCGACTATTGTTGTTAATGTTAATTTTTGTTTTTCAAACGTTTCAAATAATACATTTTACAAGGAAACTCATTTTTCTTAAATTTTGAATTACAGCGCCATCTGTTGATAAATTGAAAAAAGTTTTAAATAAAAGTTATTTATTTTTTTATGTACTACCAAACTCTGTGAAAAAATCGGGTCATTCCATTTGACTTTCCAAAGTTACCCCCCGTTTCACCCTTAAGGAGGGGTAGGGGGTGGCTAGCGGTAGCACCCAATAATGTCCCCTTTAGTCACATTAACCTTTTATTTAAGACATTTTTCCGTGAAATGCGTATTTCTCGAGATATTGAGCTGTCTCAAGTTAAAAGAAACACCCTGTATATATATTATTACTTAATATTGTGGATAAGGAATTTTGCTTAGCAGGGTAGCTGGATTTATACCCCTTCTAAGGCCCCCAATTATAAAAACAACCAAGCCAACCTTGTACGATAGTAACAAATTGGTTTGCATAATTTTACCAAAAAAAAAGGAAGCATTTTTTTTATTTGGGTGGCCTTTAAAATTTTTTTACCTTGCGTTGTTATAATAAATCAATGGATATTTTAAAAATGTCTATAAATTATTCCTATCTAATACTGTACGTTTTATGTGTAAATTGTATTTCCACCAAAGTTATTTTAATTTTAAATGTAATTACAGGTATGTAAATGTTGTGGAAATAGTATAGCAAAGTATATTCTAATGAGACTGTTTAGAGTTTAGTGGTCCATTACTTTTAATGGTATCATTTTCTTTGGCAATGAAATTTATGTTAAGTTAGCACAAAGGTAAATGTTATACAAAATTGAAAAAAAAAAGAATAAGACTTTTTTTCGAAATTACCTTCAAGTTGATGCGGTCAATCTGTCTGTTTTGATTCTCCAATTCGGAGCCCATGTCGATGGCCATGTTACGTAAATTACCGATCATTGTGTTTACCTAAAATTATTTAAATTTACGCCTATTTCCAAAACTATGAATAGTTTAAAAGCAAGTTTTACCTGACCAACGTTTTCTTCCATTTCCTCTTCGCGAGCATCGTTCGTAATCCTTCCGATATATCCGCCTTGAGGTCCAAGGCCGTTGCGATCGTCCATCATCCGTTGCGGCTGATTATTGACCACTTTTCCATCGTCGTTTCCCTTCCATGTACCCTCATCCTCTTTGAACGAAGAACCCCTAACAAGCACAAGTTTACAATAGTAAATAGAACAAACAGTTTGGATAATGAGCCACTAAATAAGTCCTTACAAAATCAAAGCGCTAGTATATACACTGAGAAAAATGTATGTAATTTTACACATAGTAGCAAAGCAAGTGCAATAATTGTTTTTAGAGGAAAATAGAATCCATTTAAAATGATAGCATAGGAAAAACAACATCAGTAATGGAATGTTCCTTTCTAAGATGGTTACTCAAAAAATATTTAATATTAAATGTACTATCCTAGAGTTTGTTTTTTTTTTCATTGTTTTTTTCAATTTTTTTTTTTTTAAAATCTACCAAAATCTCTTTTTTCATGATTTTTGGTCAAAGACGAAATGATGCTTTTCCATTCAGTCGGATATATCAGCGAATAATGGTCGTATCAAAGTCTAAAAAAAAGCAAATTGAAGCTGAATGAACAAGTCCATATGGTGGTTAAGTCAGAAAATTTTTATCCAAGTCCGTGGACCAAAAAAGAAAGCTATTTTTTTTTATTACGGTATTCGTTAAAATTGAGCGTTGCACGTTGCTTTGAAAGCTTCAAATTGCTTTTTTTACGGCTCCAATACGACCATTTTTAACGAAGATACAGCTATCCGAAAAATCGCTAAAAATTTGGATTTTTTTATTATCCTTTAATTTTTCCTATTAGTGTAGAAGTTTTACATTGTTATTGGTTTCTTATGTGAAAACTACTAAATAATAAGAAATCAAATTTTTTAGTCTCGCTCAAAATTTTCAATAATGAAAAATTAATATATTCTACATTTCACTTTATTAATAATAATAATATACATTTTACTCAAAATTTCATTTTGAAAAAATACTCCATTTTGAAAGATTGATGTTATTTATTGACAGAATATTCTTTATTGTAGCGGATTTGAAAAAAAAATCGTTTTTGTCTAGGTTTTTTTTTCATGTTTTTTTACATCTAAAAAAAACCGTTTTTCTACATCTTTATACTATCCAAAATTTAAAAAAAAGAATTCATTTAAAATAACCAAAAGCAAAACCAGAAATGGATAATGGCATTGTTTTTTCTTAAGTGCCTTAAAGAAAATCTAAATTTTAAGGGTTTTCCTTGATCTTCTACCAAGGGCGTCGCCAGCCGGTAAGCTAGGGGGGGCAGCATATAAGAACAAGAGAAAAATTAAAAAAAAAAAGTTTTCATAAAAAAAATAAAAAACGAACAAAATAACTACACACTTTGTTGACGAAATCGTCCAAATTTTTGAAAATGTGTTGCCTGTGTTCACTTATCATTGCGAGGCCATTGAGTCGAGTTTCAAACATGGTGCTCCTCAACCAGGTTTTGATTCTCCTGAGGCTACTGAATGACCTTTCAACTGTACCAGTCGTACAAGGTAAAGCAACAAGGATCTTTAAAGCCTTCTTAATTTCAGGAAAAAAATCTTCAGTTTCCTTAAGGATTTCCACAACACTCAGTTTATCGTTTCAATTAGCAGGGTGACTTGTGAGCGCTAACCTCTAGGGGGGGCAGCTGCCCCCCTGCCCTTCTTTGGCGACGCCCTTGTTTTCTACTATCCAGAATTTGGAAAATAGAATCCATCAAAATTTCATCCATATTAAACCCTTGTGGAAATTTTTCTCTGAGAAAGTCTTACTTTTTCTTAAAAAGTCTGAATAATACTTATTAAGTCGGAAAAAGTCAGAATAAGACTTATTAAGTCGGAAAAAGTCTGAATAAGTCTTATTAAGTCAGTCTAATAGCAAGATTTGGGAGTCTTCTGGAAGAGTTAATAAGACTTTTTAAGACTTAATAAGACTTTTAGTAGAGAAATGGTAGGTACCTATGGCGATAAAAATAAATATCCGAAATAATTCATATTTGGTTATCGTAAAATAAAACACATAGAAAAGTATTTATTAACATTTTTGCTGTTGTTATAAGCCAAGTTTATTGCATAATTACCTATATAATAACATAGGTAAGATGTAATAATTATAACAATTATAATTTTATACATACGATGCGCTTGACATGCTTTCATGATTTCCACCATAGAAAAAGGAGTTAATATCATGTCTATAGACATGATATTTTCGATAGACTCATAAGACAAATATGGTTGATCTCCGTGTTTCATTCATCTTTGTATCATGGTTGATCTTCGTGTTTACGTACAGTGTTGCCATAAAAGTTCCTGACCATAAATTACAAAATACTAAAATAATAGTAAAAATGTAACACGATAGAATAAAATAATTGTGCATATTTAGTAAATATACATTATTTACTGAAAATTTCTTTTGTTATTATTTTGATAGAAATTCGCAAATCACCCGATTTCACCCGCAAATATTACGAAAATACCCGATTTTCGAGTAAAATACTTGAAAACGGCAACACTGTGTCCCACTGACAGGTCAGCTGTGCTCTAATTGGTCAGCTAGCTGAGCTGGTCTCTCGATATTATGTCTAGAAGATTTGTTTGTAACAATGTTTAGATAGATCAATATTTGCGTGTATCAAAAGAAACTATTAATATAAAACGTACAGTGGCAACTCCTTTTTCTATGGTAGAAATAATGAAAGCATGTCAAGCGCATCGTATGTATAAAATTATAATTGTTATAATTATTACATCTTACCTATGTTATTATATATCTAATATATATATTATATATATATATATATAATAACATAGGTAAGATGTAATAATTATAACAATTATAATTATAATTATATATATATATATATATATATATATATATATATATAGGTAATTATGCAATAAACTTGGCTTATAACAACAGCAAAAATGTTATTATATACACTATTGGACAAAAGTAAAGCAACAACTGTATAAAAAATCTAACCCCAAAACGCCTTTATTAATCTTTAAGAAATTTTGGATAAAAATACTTGAACTTAAATCTCAGTTTACGTGTTTGAGGGTTTTTTTTTAAATATTTTTAAAGCCCATTTTTTTTAATATTAAAAAAACCTTCGAAAAATAATTTTTACGGAAATTTTTTTTCAAGTAAATAAAAAATATACTGTTAAATACCGTATTTTTGTTAGTATACCCTGAAAATTTTGTACAAATCAAATGAACAGTAACGAAGATACAGCGATTCAAAGTCGTCAAAAATGACCACTTTTCAGCAAAATAATCAAAAAAGGGTCATTTTTACCGACTTTGAAGCGCTGTATCTTCGTTACTGTTCATTTGATTTGTACAAAATTTTTAGAGTATACTAACAAAAATACGGTCATTAACAGAATATTTTTTATTTACTAGAAAAAAATTTCCGTAAAAGTTATTTTTCGAACGTTTTTTTAATATTAAAAAAATGGGCTTTAAAAATATTTTCTCAAAAAACCCTTAAACACGTAAACTGAGATTTAAGTTCAAGTAATTTTATCCAAAATTTCTTAAAGAATAATAAAGGCGTTTTGGAGTTGGATTTTTTATACAGTTGTTGCTTTACTTTTGTCCAATAGTGTATATAATATATATATTATATATATATATATAATAACATAGGTAAGATGTAATAATTATAACAATTATAATTTTATACATACGATATATATATATATATATATATATATATATATATATATATATAGGTAATTATGCAATAAACTTGGCTTATAACAACAGCAAAAATGTTAATAAATACTTTTCTGTGTTTTATTTTACGATAACCAAATACAACCTCTATGAATTATTTCGGATATTTATTTTTATCGCCATAGGTAGGTACATACCATTTCTTTACTAAAAGTCTTATTAAGTCTTAAAAATTCTTATTAACTCTTCCAGAAGACTCCCAAATCTTGCTATTAGTCTGACTTAATAAGACTTTTTCCGACTTATTAAGTCTTATTCTGACTTTTTCCGACTTAATAAGTATTATTCAGACTTTTTAAGAGAAAGTAAGACTTTCTCAGAAAAAAATTTCCACAAGGGAACCATCATTTTTACTATAAGTTTTGATATTTTCTGACGAAGGAAAGAAATGTATTTCATCTAGTGATAATTAGTGATTATTAATCACTGAGTAATTAAACATGACTTACTTTTGACATGGTAAGACGCACAGTCCGCAGCATTTTTCCATGCCGGTGAGATTTTTCTCGGCCTCGCGCATGTCGGTGTTGATTTGATCCATGCCATCCTCGATCCGGTCTAGTTGCTCTAAAGGAGGATAAACACATAAATTACACGACATCGAAGCGTACAAATGGTGGATGTGGATGACACCATTCGACCACATTAATTTAATAATCTAATAGCAAGTTTTTACATGGCTTGTTTGTGTGTGTGTGTAGGTATTGGTAAGTTATTCAACATGCGCATGCTCGGCTAGTCTACTTAAAACACGGTCAGTGTACATGCAAAAAATGTTGGGTATCAAAGACCCGTTTTCTTAAGACTTTTACAAACTTTTTGTACATGTACACTTTAAAATTCTTATATTGATGTAGTAATCAGGTAAGCAGCTATATCTTGGCAATATCATCATGCTATCAAAGGCAAATGTTAGGGCTTAGCGCATAGAATGAGATATAAAATTGATAGTGTTAAATATTTATACGTTTTACGTTTATGTGAGTGGGTGTTTCAACTTACTTCGTTAGTGTTAAATCCTTTAAGTAAGTGGGGTATCTTGGGATCATGTTTTACATATTTAGATTAAGGTTGTTTTTAGGGTTGTACCCTGTATTATTATTAGATAAGTTTGTTTTTTTGTGTGTTACTATATTAGTTACTTATAGTTTAAGAGCCCGACCTTGGTCCACCTATCCTCATCTGATGAGGTATTTTTAATTAAAGATGATCTATGAACAAACACATCGGGTATTGGTTGCCTACCTTAATGTGGTCAGACACGGTTGCCAGATCTAAAAGGGTGGAGTGGACGACGAACGTATGTAGGCAACATATGCGCGATGTGTTTGTTCATAAATCATCTTTTATAAAAATAGGTATCTCTCATTAGGAAATCAAATGAGGAAAGGTGGCCATAGATAGAGATTTTTGACAAATTGACCGATTATCATTTCAAATCAAAACTAGGATCTGTATCTGTTTAAATAAACTATGCTTTAACTATTTTGTATATTTTATTTAATTGCAAGAAAAATCACTAATAAGGCTTGTTTTTAATGTTACTTTTATATAATAGTTGAAAGTTTCTTTTACATTAAAATATCTCTTCTTTGTCTGTAAAATGATATTTATATTTTCTATTTAATCCTCAAATTCTTTGGTATAACCCACGATAAAAAAATTTGAATTAAAAAAATTCATTGCTAAAGTAATGAGCATATAGAACCATTAAACACTAATAAATTTATCTAAAACTTAAATCTTAAAATCTAACATTAAAAACGGTAAAATTTAATCTACGAAATAGGTATAATGTTTTGAAGATAATTTAAACAGTTAAAAAGCACTCTGGAAATTTTTGTTCAAGTGTTACTTCATAAATATTGGGTTGAAAAAATTATCAAAGTGCCATACAACAAATTAATTAAAACACATAAACTTACCAGATCTTAGTAGAAATGGTGGAATAGGGTTATTTTTAAAATGAACGAGGTTTTAAATTAAAACAATCAGCTCTATGGTATATCCAATGTATATTATCCTTGTCTTATATACTCCAAGGTAGTATCTTAGAACATGGATTCTACTTTAAAGCATATAATATATTAATAAAGAATAAAACATGTAGATTTCAAAACTTGGTTATTTTTCGACACTGTCAACTTCTACGAAAAAAAACAGTAACAAACCATTGATGCGCCCACAATCCACACAACAAGGTCTGTTCGATCTCGTAGTAAAAATACTAAAAATCACTGCAACACTGCACATCATAGGATGACGGCCATTTTTGTTGTTTACAATTCTCGTGCTTTGGGTTTGTACAGATTAATAATCGTTTTAAACGTTGTGTTTCTTACAGAGAGACTTGCAAGCCTTAAATAGACCTCAAAGTGGTAAGAACAATCATTTTACTCCTCTTTTGTAAAAAATAAACCTTATTCTATCAAATGTCAATTTGTGAGTTATAAAATAACCTTAAAATAACCTTCAAATTGACATTTGACAGCCCTGATAGAATAAGGTTTATTTTTTGCAAAAGAGGAGTAAAATGATTGTTCATACCAAACGATTATTAATCTGTAGAAACCCAAAGCACAAGAATTGTAAACAACAAAAATGGCCGCAATCGTATGATGTGCAGTGTTGCAGTGATTTTTAGTATTTTTACTACGAGATCGAACAGACCTTGTTGTGTGGATTGTGGATACAGTCAATACAATGCCAATGTACATACTATTCGAAATCATATAATTTTTAATAAAACCTTATGAATTACTTAGACAGTAGCACAAGTTACTTTTACCACATATTATTTGATATGTAATCAATGAGGGGAACACCTTAAAACAACAATAAAAAATAGGTAGCAAAACAATTTTTGTTAATTTTAGTAGTTTTTTGGTAAACATTTTGGTCAATTCAACCTTTTCTGATTTGTTTATCCAATATATATACATACCCACTATTAAGTTAATTTAATCAGTAAAATAGTAAAAATTACTTTTTTAGTCAATATAACACTTTAATTGAGTTATAAGTGGAATTGTGAATCCATCCAATAATGATAAGTAAATTTACCCATGAATATTGCAATGCAGAACCTAATTGTTATTAGTAGTACCTACTTGTTATTTGTTATTTTTACCACACCATTATTAAATTAAATATTTTTACTACATGTTTTGAACATTCAAGGTAACTTTAACAATTTAACCCATTATTTTAAATTGAACCCATTTAATTATTTTAATATTTAAATAGGTTGAATTTAAAATATTGTAAATTTTACCGGCCAAAATTGTTAATACCTGGTACAATATCAAAAAGTTGTTAATTTAACAAATTTTACTATTTAAATCATAATATGATTTTATGTTATTTTTAATATTTAAATGGGTTTTATAATCTGTGTACGTACCCCCACGGCACGCGCCTAACTGATCACTTGTGTGTTTTTTGTTTATGTAGTTTTGTGGCTAAATAAGTTTAATTGTAAATTATTTATAACATGGCAGTATTGTTTTGTATTATTTTAGCAAAATCGTGGTATTACTTAATGCTGTAGTTACCACATTTGTGTTTAGCACGGCAGAGGACATGTCCGCTTTTTATTCTAAAAAATGTAGGTACCTAATTTTATATAAAAAATATTAAAGGATCAATATTTTATATATGAAGGGGTTAGGGATTGCAATCCGGAAACCGGATCCGGTGATACGGCGGATCCGGCATCATTAAAAGTCGACCGGATCCGGCATGAGTTTGCCGGATCCGATCACAAGCCATTAGTTTCAAATTGTCAGTTTTTCATTTGACTCGCTTGAGTGAACAAATGTATGTTTTTGTCGCTGCTTTGTTAAGTAAAAGTAAGTAAGTAGACATTGTTATTATTTAATTGATAGTTAAATTATTTTTTTGCTGCATTTATGAGTTTGAGAATTATTTAAGTAAATTATATAATTAAATTATGTAATGAATCCTTGCTAACAATGCATATTTCTGATTTTGTTTATAATCTAACTTTATTATTACACTGATGAATAATAGTATATTATGTATCAAGTTTTATAAACTGAATTTTAGTTACGAGTTTAATTAAGCACGAGCGAAGCTTGCGAGCGAGTGTTTAATAAAAACGAGTATCTAGAGAAGTTTATAAACGAGTTACATATTATACTTTATCTACGACGAACACAAAACAGAATTTAATACAAATTTATTGAATTTGGCCGGATCGACAGGAATCCGACCAGATTGAATCTGGTGCCGGATTGCCATCCCTAGAATGGGTTGAAAAGCAGAAGGGTACAAGTGCATTTTAGCATGAAAATAAGTTAAGTACAGAATTGGGAATATAATAACGTGGAAATTGTAAAAGTTATGCATTAGGGTGGGCCGAAAATCCGCTTTTTTAGAATTTCGTTTAGTAATAGCAAAAATTTTGTTCATTATGTTGTAAAAAAAAATTGTGTAAAAGATTAAAATTTTCGATCAACATCCTAGGCTCGCCCAACGCAATTAAAGATCAACGTAGGACCATTTGGGAAATATAATATATATAATATATATACACCAATACATAAAGCAAATAAAGTTATTTTTTATTAAACTTTTTGATTTAGTTGGTGGTCGGTTAAATTATAACCAATAAAAATCGTAAAAAAAGAACCCAATCACTTTTTCTTTTGGAGCGCTATATTTCCCAAACGGTCCTACGTTGATCTTTAATTGCGTTGGGCGAGCCTAGGATGTTGATCGAAAATTTTAATCTTTTACACAACATTTTTTTACAACATAATAAACAAAATTTTTGCTAATACTAAACGAAATTCTAAAAAAGCGGATTTTCGGCCCACCCTATTGTGCATGTTGATCAGGGTGGGCCGAAAAACGTAAAAAAAAAATATTTGAGATATTTATTTTTGGGTAGCAATAAAAAGTTACCTTATGTTAAAAGTAATTTATTAGAAAAAAATGTAGCGTACTAGCCCATTATTTAAGGGTCCCCCGGGGGCCCAAAATATTTTTTTTTGCATGTTTTGACTGGGGTGGGAACAAAAAGTTACCTTATGTTAACAGTAATTCTAGAAAAAAAAATGAGCGTACTAGCCCAATATTTAAGGGTGCCCCGGAGGCCCAAAATATTTATTTTTATCATATTTTAATTGGGTTAACCACAAAAGTTACCTTATATTAACAGTAATTCTAAAAAAAAAATGAGCGTACTAGCCCAAAATTTAAGGGTGCCCCGGAGGCCCAAAATATATTTTTTGTTCATATTTTAATTGGGGTAACCACAAAAAGTAACCTCATGTTAACAGTATGTTTCGAAAAAAATAGCCATTCTAGCCCAATATTTAAGGGTGCCCTGGGGGGCCCCAAATTTTTTTATATATATTTTAATTGCGATGGCAACAAAAAGTTACCCCATGTATTATTGCATAGACAAACCAAATGCCTGTATCAGTCTAAGTTTTTTTTATTATTTTATTAAGACGCCTTTTGATGAAAAAAAATTAGCAACTCTTGGCTTGATTTTATTAAATTTAAAAAAGATTTTGCGTTACTCTAAATTAATTAAC